ACACACGGCCTGACATGTATGCCCTTTGCAGGAGGACGTCTGCTGGGGCAATTCATCAGAGGAGGAAAAGTACTTCTTCCACGATGGAGGCTTCCTAAACCCGATTCCACGATGTCTTCTACCTCCTCAGAAAGAAGAGTGCCCCATCGTTCTCCTCAGACTTCTTCAAAGCCAAAACCTAGACTTAGAACACAAAACCATCCAAGTCCATCCCAACACCCTCTTCACACTGGAGTGGCGCCCTCATTACTGAGAGTTCGGGGGGGGGGGGGGGGGGGGGACATATGTTACAGACGTCCCAGACCTGAAAGTTTAATCGGTGGTTTCAAAGGGTTACAAAATAGAGGTGAAAACTTGAACCCTTCATCGCTTTCTTCTTTCAAACTAATTGAAATCTGCCTGAGGGCATCCCTAAGGGACAGGTTTTGTCCATCTTGTTGCACAAACCTCTCGCTCCTGAAAACCTTCATTCAAGATGTCTCTCCGATTTCACCGCCCTTATAGCTCCCTGAGCTTCTTTGGGGTTCTAATTTGGTCCTCTCTGCTCTGCGGAAACCATCTCTTGAACCCACCCGGGGAACTCTTTGGATTATCTTTCCTGAAAAGTGGCCTTCTTGGTAGTTATCACGTCTGTCAGATGAATTCTTGCATCAGCGACACTCTCTAGTAAGGAACCATTCCTCATTCTTCACAAGAACAAAGTATCGTATCGTTCTACCCAAGGTGGTATCTCTGTCCTCCCTAATGAAGACCTCATCCTTCCCTCTTTGTCTTCTGCTTTGTTCTTCGTTGTCAGTGTGTACAGCAGTCTGTCCGACAGAAGCCGATCTAATGACAGATCCAATCAGTGTGTACAGCAGTCTGTCCCACAGAAGCTGATCTAATGACCGATCCAGTCAGTGTGTACAGCAGTCTGTCCGACAGAAGCCGATCTAATGACCGATCCAGTCAGTGTGTACAGCAGTCTGTCCGACAGAAGCCGATCTAATGACCGATCCAGTCAGTGTGTACAGCAGTCTGTCCCACAGAAGCTGATCTAATGACCGATCCAGTCAGTGTGTACAGCAGTCTCCGACAGAAGCCGATCTAATGACCGATCCAGTCAGTGTGTACAGCAGTCTGTCCGACAGAAGCCGATCTAATGACCGATCCAGTCAGTGTGTACAGCAGTCTGTCCGACAGAAGCCGATCTAATGACCGATCCAGTCAGTGTGTACAGCAGTCTGTCCGACAGAAGCCGATCTAATGACCGATCCAGTCAGTGTGTACAGCAGTCTGTCCGACAGAAGCCGATCTAATGACCGATCCAGTCAGTGTGTACAGCAGTCTGTCCGACAGAAGCCGATCTAATGACCGATCCAGTCAGTGTGTACAGCAGTCTGTCCGACAGAAGCCGATCTAATGACCGATCCAGTCAGTGTGTACAGCAGTCTGTCCGACAGAAGCCGATCTAATGACCGATCCAGTCAGTGTGTACAGCAGTCTGTCCGACAGAAGCCGATCTAATGACCGATCCAGTCAGTGTGTACAGCAGTCTGTCCGACAGAAGCCGATCTAATGACCGATCCAGTCAGTGTGTACAGCAGTCTGTCCCACAGAAGCCGATCTAATGACCGATCCAGTCAGTGTGTACAGCAGTCTGTCCGACAGAAGCCGATCTAATGACCGATCCAGTCAGTGTGTACAGCAGTCTGTCCGACAGAAGCCGATCTAATGACCGATCCAGTCAGTGTGTACAGCAGTCTGTCCGACAGAAGCCGATCTAATGACCGATCCAGTCAGTGTGCACAGCAGTCTGTCCGACAGAAGCCGATCTAATGACCGATCCAGTCAGTGTGTACAGCAGTCTCCGACAGAAGCCGATCTAATGACCGATCCAGTCAGTGTGTACAGCAGTCTCCGACAGAAGCCGATCTAATGACCGATCCAGTCAGTGTGTACAGCAGTCTGTCCGACAGAAGCCGATCTAATGACCGATCCAGTCAGTGTGTACAGCAGTCTGTCCGACAGAAGCCGATCTAATGACCGATCCAGTCAGTGTATACAGCAGTCTGTGCGACAGAAGCCGATCTAATGACCGATCCAGTCAGTGTGTACAGCAGTCTGTCCGACAGAAGCCGATCTAATGACTGATCCAGTCAGTGTGTACAGCAGTCTGTCCGACAGAAGCCGATCTAATGACCGATCCAGTCAGTGTGTACAGCAGTCTGTCCGACAGAAGCCGATCTAATGACCGATCCAGTCAGTGTGTACAGCAGTCTGTCCGACAGAAGCCGATCTAATGACCGATCCAGTCAGTGTGTGTGTACAGCAGTCTCCGACAGAAGCCGATCTAATGACCGATCCAGTCAGTGTGTACAGCAGTCTGTCCGACAGAAGCCGATCTAATGACCGATCCAGTCAGTGTGTACAGCAGTCTGTCCGACAGAAGCCGATCTAATGACCGATCCAGTCAGTGCGTACAGCAGTCTGTCCGACAGAAGCCGATCTAATGACCGATCCAGTCAGTGTGTACAGCAGTCTGTCCCACAGAAGCCGATCTAATGACCGATCCAGTCAGTGTGTACAGCAGTCTGTCCCACAGAAGCCGATCTAATGACCGATCCAGTCAGTGTGTACAGCAGTCTGTCCCACAGAAGCCGATCTAATGACAGATCCAGTCAGTGTGTACAGCAGTCTGTCCGACAGAAGCCGATCTAATGACAGATCCAGTCAGTGTGTACAGCAGTCTGTCCGACAGAAGCCGATCTAATGACAGATCCAGTCAGTGTGTACAGCAGTCTCCGACAGAAGCCGATCTAATGACCGATCCAGTCAGTGTGTACAGCAGTCTGTCCGACAGAAGCCAATCTAATGACCGATCCAGTCAGTGTGTACAGCAGTCTGTCCGACAGAAGCCGATCTAATGACCGATCCAGTCAGTGTGTACAGCAGTCTGTCTGACAGAAGCCGATCTAATGACAGATCCAGTCAGTGTGTACAGCAGTCTGTCCCACAGAAGCCGATCTAATGACAGATCCAGTCAGTGTGTACAGCAGTCTGTCCGACAGAAGTCGATCTAATGACAGATCCAGTCAGTGTGCACAGCAGTCTGTCCGACAGAAGCCGATCTAATGACCGATCCAGTCAGTGTGTACAGCAGTCTGTCCGACAGAAGCCGATCTAATGACCGATCCAGTCAGTGTGCACAGCAGTCTGTCCGACAGAAGCCGATCTAATGACAGATCCAGTCAGTGTGTACAGCAGTCTGTCCGACAGAAGCCGATCTAATGACCGATCCAGTCAGTGTGTACAGCAGTCTGTCCCACAGAAGCCGATCTAATGACCGATCCAGTCAGTGTGTACAGCAGTCTGTCCGACAGAAGCCGATCTAATGACAGATCCATTCAGTGTGCACAGCAGTCTGTCCCACAGAAGCCGATCTAATGACCGATCCAGTCAGTGTGTACAGCAGTCTGTCTGACAGAAGCCGATCTAATGACAGATCTGTTCAGTGCTTGCAGCCAATTGTCTGAGAGCAGTGATGTGGGGGGGGGGGGAGGCTAAATTCAAAATCCAGTATTTCCAGGTTGATAAGACAACTGATCTCAAGAGCTTACACTCTAAAAGCTAAGACACCTCCAGCACTCAAAAGCTGGCCAGTCGTGGCTGAACTTGCCAAATTTCGATCCATGTATGGGCAGGCTGGTTGTACAGATGTCAATCTACAGATCGATTTCTGTACAGCCACCCTGTTGGGTTTTTCCCAATCGATCAGTGCTGATGGCTATAGGACTAACTGAGCACTAAAGGGGTGGGGTCAGGTTATAGGGGTACGCCCCGGGGGATATGTCCAATCACCTGAAAGTGCAAGCCTATAAATCGAGGTCTGCAAATATCTGGCTCGTGTCCTGCGAATATCCGTCCCACGTCCCGCATGTATATGCGTCCCGCGTGTATATCCGTCCCGTGTGTATATCCGTCCCGCGTGTATATCCGTCCCGCGTCCCGTGTTTATATCCGTCCTGCGTGTATATCCGGCCCGAGTCCCGCGAATATCTGACCCAAGTCCCGCGTATATATCCGTCCCGCGTATATATCCGGCCCGCATCCCGCATGAATATCCGTCCCACATATATCCGGCCCGCATCCCGCATGAATATCCGTCCCACGTATATCCGGCCCGCATCCCGCATGAATATCCGTCCCACGTATATCCATCCCGCGAATATCCATCCCGCGAATATCCGTCCCGTGTGTATATCCAGCCCGCGAATATCCATCCCGCGAATATCCGTCCCGTGTGTATATCCATCCCGCGAATATCCATCCCGCGAATATCCGTCCCGTGTGTATATCCAGCCCGCGTCTCGCGTATATATCCGTCCCGCATGAATATCTGTCCCGCGTATATCCGGCCCGCATCCCGCATGAATATCCGTCCCACGTATATCCATCCCGCGTCCCGCGAATATCCATCCCGCGAATATCCGTCCCGTGTGTATATCCAGCCCACGTCTCGCGTATATATCCGTCCCGCATGAATATCCGTCCCGCGAATATCCGTCCCGCGTCCCGCGTATATATCCGTCCCGCATGAATATCTGTCCCGCGTATATCCGGCCCGCATGAATATCCGTCCCGCATGAATATCTGTCCCGCGAATATCCGTCCCGTGTGTATATCCGGCCCGCGTCCCGCGTATATATCCGTCCCGCATGAATATCTGTCTCGCGTATATCCGGCCCGCATCCCGCATGAATATCTGTCCCGGGAATATCCGTCCCGCGTGTATATCCGTCCCGCGTATATCCAGCCCACGTCCCGTGTATATCCGTCCCGCATGTATATCCGGCCCGCGTCCCGCGTATATCCAGCCCACGTCCCGCGTGTATATCCAGCCCACGTCCCGCGTATATCCAGCCCGCGTCCCCTGTATATCCATCCCGCGTATATCCATCCTGTGTCCTGCGCTGTACTCCATATTTCTGTTTTTTATATCCCACATTGTATACGGATGAATGTCTGAACCGCATTTTATCCTTCCACAGAAACAAGAAAAACCAAAGTTCGTGTTGTGCGTCACCTTTTCTGAGAACGGGGACACCATTACAGGAGACTCCAGCGGGAACCTTCTGGTTTGGGGAAAAGGTTAAAAACTCTTTTATTTTCATTATGTGCTGCAAAATTTCAGAAAGTAACAGAAAAAAACTCTCCAGGAAGAAAGATACTATAAAGCCGGCCATAGAAATCCTTTATAGATGGTGTGAAGACGTAATTCCTTACTGTTGGGGCGATCGCTGATTTCTGTTCGCTGCTCAAACGATTGTTTTGTATTCCGGATCCCAAAGCCGGTTTCCAGATAAATGTAATCAGTTTAATTTTGAATATTTTTCAGCATGACGGATAATATAAATGGTAAATGAAGGTCTGATTCAATGTGATGGTGTCTATAGATGCACAGATGAGGATTTAATGTGCAGAAGCATCAAAAAAGCATGTTGAATAGGAAGGCGCTTTAATGAAGTTGAAGCGAGTGTAAACGGTCCTTAACCATCTCCTGTCTGGCCGTTGTATATAAACGGCTGGACGGCGGCAGGGCGGGTGGACGTTTATAAACGGCCTTCCCGCCCCCTGCTTGTGCGCGCTTCCTAGGAGCTCGCAGCACCGTGATTCGGTGCCCGCTGTGTCCTCCTCACACAGCGGAACGCTGATCGTCGGACGGGACCTCTGTACAAGGTCCCGATCATGTGATCACTGATTAGCCAATCAGTGATCACATGCAGAGTAGTAAGCAAGATGTCACTTGTGACATCATTGCTTACTACGTGTGAAATCTGTGAATGATCACAGAGGTCACATGGTACAGGGCCATTCACAACAGCCTTGTACCATGTGACAAGCTGTGACCAATTACAGCTCACTAAGTAGTTCTCAATGGCTGCAGGAATGCAGACAGAGAGAAGGAGAAATTATTGCTTTTACAGCCTTTATGGGTGTAAAAGCAATCCGTGTTAAAAAAAAAAAAAAATCTTTATCACCCCCCACAAGTAGTACAGAGTCACCATGGCACTGTACTGCTAGGGTGACAGTATGTAAAAAAAAAATAATGTAAAAAAAAATGTTTTAAAAATTATAATTTTGGCTATAAACTAATTTGGGTATATTTTTTTTTTTCACTAAAAATATAATGGAATAAATTTTGGCCAAGATTTATGATGAAATATTATTTATTTGCAAAACTTTATAAGAAACACTTTTTTTCAAAAATTTTTGGACTTTTTCATTTACACAGCAAAAAAAATAAAAATCCCAGCGGTGAATAAATACCACCAAAATAAAGCTTTATCTGTCTCAAAAAAATGCTAAAAAATTCATCTGGGTACAGTGTTGCATGACCGCGCAATTGTCATTCAAAGTGTGATAGCGCTGAAAGCTGAAAATTGCCCTGGTCAGGAAGGGGGTAAAAGTGTCCAGACTGGAAGGGGGGTGGGGGGGAGGTGTCCAGACTGGAAGGGGGGGGGGGAAGTGTCCAGACTGGAAGGGGGGGGGGAATTGTCCAGACTGGAAGGGGGGGGAAGTGTCCGGACTGGAAGGGGGGGGGAAGTGTCCGGACTGGAAGGGGGGGGGGGGGAATGTGTCCGGGCTGGAAGAGGGGGGAAAGTGTCTGGACTGGAAGTGGGGGGGGGGAAAGTGTCCGGGCTGGAAGGGGGGTGGGGGGGAGGTGTCCAGACTGGAAGGGGGGGGGGGGGGAAGTGTCCAGACTGGAAGGGGGGGGGGGGAATTGTCCAGACTGGAAGGGGGGGGGGGAATTGTCCAGACTGGAAGGGGGGGGAAGTGTCCGGACTGGAAGGGGGGGGGGAAGTGTCCGGACTGGAAGGGGGGGGGGGAATGTGTCCAGGCTGGAAGGGGGGGAAAGTGTCCGGACTGGAAGGGGGGGGGGGGGGGAAGTGTCCGGGCTGGAAGAGGGGGGAAAGTGTCTGGACTGGAAGTGGGGGGGGGGAAAGTGTCCGGGCTGGAGTGGGGGGGGGGGGGAAAGTGTCCGGACTGGAAGTGGGGGGGGGGGGGGAAGTGTCCGGGCTGGAAGAGGGGGGAAAGTGTCTGGACTGGAAGTGGGGGGGGGAAAGTGTCCGGGCTGGAAGGGGGGGAAAGTGTCCGGACTGGAAGGGGGGGGGGGGGGGGGGGGAAGTGTCCGGGCTGGAAGAGGGGGGAAAGTGTCTGGACTGGAAGTGGGGGGGGGAAAGTGTCCGGGCTGGAAGGGGGGGAAAGTGTCCGGACTGGAAGGGGGGGGGGGGGGGAAGTGTCCGGGCTGGAAGGGGGGGGAAGTGTCCGGACTGAAAAGGGGGGAGGGGGGAAAGTGTCCGGACTGGAAGGGGGGGGGGGGGGGGGAAAGTGTCCGGACTGGAAGGGGGGGGGGGAAAGTGTCCGGGCTGGAGGGGGGGGGGGGAAAGTGTCCGGACTGGAAGGGGGGGGGGGGGAAGTGTCCGGGCTGGAAGGGGGGGGAAGTGTCCGGACTGAAAAGGGGGGAGGGGGGAAAGTGTCCGGACTGAAAAGGGGGGAGGGGGGAAAGTGTCCGGACTGGAAGGGGGGAGGGGGGAAAGTGTCCGGACTGGAAGGGGGGGGAGGGGGGGAAAGTGTCCGGACTGGAAGGGGGGGGGGGGGGGGGAGTGTCCGGACTGGAAGGGGGGGGGGGGGAAAGTGTCCGGACTGGAAGGGGGGGGGGGGGGGGGGGGGGGGAAGTGGTTAAAGGGACAGCAAGCTACATGTGAGGGGCTGAAATCCTATATACAGTCTGGTCCATATATATTTGGCACAATTTTAGTTTTTTTTTCAGGTATTTACCAAAACATATTCCAGCTCTGGTTCTATGATGGATCTGGGCGGACAGTGCGCACTCTTAGGTGTAATTACAGCTCTTAAGAGTAGCCACTCCCCCTTTTTCAAGGGACCAAAAGTAATTGGACAATTGAATATAATCATAAATAAAATGCTCATTTGTAATATTTTGTTGAGAATCCTTTACTGGCAATGACTGCCTGAAGTCTGGACCCATGGATGTGACCAAAGACCGGGTTTCCTCCTTTCTGATGCTTTGCCTGAAGTCTGGACCCATGGACATGACCAAAGACTGGGTTTCCTCCTGTCTGATGCTTTGCCAGGCTCTAACTGCAGCTGTCTTCAGTTGTTCTTTGTGGGTCTTTCTGCCTTTAGTTTCGCCTTCAGCAAGTGAAATACATGCTTAACTGGGTTGAGATCAGGTGATTGACTCGGCCATTGCAGAATATTCCACTTCTTTTCCTTCCTCCTGGGTTGCTTTTTGCGGTGTGTGTTTTGGATCATTGTCCATCTGTACTGTGAAGCGCCGTCCAATCACCTTGCTGCATTTGGCAGAATCTGGGCTGACAGTATATCTGTGAACACGGCAGAATTCATCCGGCTGCTTCTGTCACATCATCAATAACCACCAATGACCCAGTGCCACTGGAAGCCATGCATGCCCATGCCATCACCCTGCCTCCGCCCATGCCATCACCCTGCCTCCGCCCATGCCATCACCCTGCCTCGCCCATGCCATCACCCTGCCTCCGTCTGTGATATCACACCGCCTCCGCCCATGCCATCACCCTGCCTCCGCCCGTGACATCACCCTGCCTCCGCCCGTGATATCACACCGCCTCCGCCCATGCCATCACCCTGCCTCCGCCCGTGACATCACCCTGCCTCCGCCCATGCCATCACCCTGCCTCCGCCCATGCCATCACCCTGCCTCCGCCCGTGACATCACCCTGCCTCCGCCCATGCCATCACCCTGCCTCCGCCCGTGACATCACCCTGCCTCCGCCCATGCCATCACCCTGCCTCCGCCCATGCCATCACCCTGCCTCCGCCCATGCCATCACCCTGCCTCCGCCCATGCCATCACCCTGCCTCCGTCTGTGATATCACACCGCCTCCGCCCGTGACATCACCCTGCCTCCGCCCGTGATATCACACCGCCTCCGCCCATGCCATCACCCTGCCTCCGCCCGTGACATCACCCTGCCTCCGCCCATGCCATCACCCTGCCTCCGCGCCCATGCCATCACCCTGCCTCTGCCCGTGACATCACCCTGCCTCGCCCATGCCATCACCCTGCCTCCGCCCATGCCATCACCCTGCCTCCGCCCATGCCATCACCCTGCCTCCGCCCGTGACATCACACCGCCTCCGCCCGTGACATCACACCGCCTCCGCCGATGCCATCACCCTGCCTCCACCCATGCCATCACCCTGCCTCCGCCCATGCCATCACCCTGCCTCCTCCCATGCCATCACCCTGCCTCCGCCCATGCCATCACCCTGCCTCCGCCCATGCCATCACCCTGCCTCCGCCCGTGACATCACCCTGCCTCCGCCCATGCCATCACCCTGCCTCCGCCGATGCCATCACCCTGCCTCCGCCGATGCCATCACCCTGCCTCCGCCCATGCCATCACCCTGCCTCCGCCCATGCCATCACCCTGCCTCCGCCCGTGCCATCACCCTGCCTCCGCCCGTGACATCACCCTGCCTCCGCCCATGCCATCACCCTGCCTCCGCCCATGCCATCACCCTGCCTCCGCCCATGCCATCACCCTGCCTCCGCCCATGCCATCACACCGCCTCCGCCCATGCCATCACCCGGCCTCCGCCGATGCCATCACCCTGCCTCCGCCCATGCCATCACCCTGCCTCCGCCCATGCCATCACCCTGCCTCCGCCCATGCCATCACCCTGCCTCCGCCCATGCCATCACACCGCCTCCCGCCCATGCCATCACCCTGCCTCCGCCCGTGCCATCACCCTGCCTCCGCCCGTGCCATCACCCTGCCTCCGCCCGTGCCATCACCCTGCCTCCGCCCGTGCCATCACCCTGCCTCCGCCCGTGCCATCACCCTGCCTCCGCCCGTGTTACAGATGACGGTGTGTGCTTTGGATCATGAGCTGTTCCAAGCCTTCTCCACACTTAGTTCTTCCCGTCATTCTGGTAGATTCATCTTCGTTTCATCCATCCAAAGAATGCTTTTCCAGAACTGGTCCCGGCTTTTTTACATGTTTTTTGGAAAAGTCTAATCTGGCTTTTCTATTCTTCAGGCTTAGGAATAGTTTGCACCTTGTGGGGAACCCTCTGTATTTGCACCTTGTGGGGAACCCTCTGTATTTGCACCGTGTGGGGAACCCTCTGTATTTGCACCGTGTGGGGAACCCTCTGTATTTGCACTTTGTGGTGACCCCTCTGTATTTGCACCGTGTGGGGAACCCTCTGTATTTGCACCTTGTGGTGACCCCTCTGTATTTGCACTTTGTGGTGACCCCTCTGTATTTGCACTTTGTGGTGACCCCTCTGTATTTGCACCTTGTGGTGACCCCTCTGTATTTGCAGCGTGTGGTGAACCCTCTGTATTTGCACCTTGTGGTGAACCCTCTGTATTTGCACCTTGTGGTGACCCCTCTGTATTTGCAGCGTGTGGTGAACCCTCTGTATTTGCACCTTGTGGTGACCCCTCTGTATTTGCACCTTGTGGGGAACCCTCTGTACTTGCACCGTGTGGGGAACCCTCTGTACTTGCACCGTGTGGGGAACCCTCTGTATTTGCAGCGTGTGGTGACCCCTCTGTATTTGCACCTTGTGGGGAACCCTCTGTATTTGCACCTTGTGGTGACCCCTCTGTATTTGCACCGTGTGGGGAACCCTCTGTACTTGCACCGTGTGGGGAACCCTCTGTACTTGCACCGTGTGGGGAACCCTCTGTATTTGCACCTTGTGGGGAACCCTCTGTATTTGCACTTTGTGGTGACCCCTCTGTATTTGCAGCGTGTGGTGAACCCTCTGTATTTGCACCTTGTGGGGAACCCTCTGTATTTGCACCGTGTGGGGAACCCTCTGTATTTGCACCGTGTGGGGAACCCTCTGTACTTGCACCGTGTAGGGAACCCTCTGTATTTGCACTTTGTGGTGACCCCTCTGTATTTGCAGCGTGTGGTGAACCCTCTGTATTTGCACCTTGTGGGGAACCCTCTGTATTTGCACCGTGTGGGGAACCCTCTGTATTTGCACCTTGTGGGGGAACCTCTGTATTTGCAGCGTGTGGGGAACCCTCTGTATTTGCACCGTGTGGGGAACCCTCTGTACTTGCACCGTGTGGGGAACCCTCTGTATTTGCTCTTGTAAAGTCTTCTCTTGATTGTAGACTGACAATGATACTCCCCCCTCCTGGAGAGCGTCCTTCACTTGTCTGGATGTTGTGAATGGGTTTTTCTTTACCATAGAGAGGATCCTGTGATCATCCACCTCTGTTGTCTTCCATGGACGTCCATGCTTTTTTATGTTGCTGAGCTCACCAGCGCGTTCTTTCCTCAGAATGGACCAAACTGTTGATTTGGCCGCTCCTAATGTTGCTGCGATCTCTCTGATGGATTGGTGTCGTCTTTGAACCCTTACAATGGCCTGTATCACTTGCATGGACGGCTCCTCTGAACTCATGATGGAGGTTCACAGCAATAGATTCCAAATGCAAATACCACAGAGAGTCAACTCCAGACCTTCTACCGGCTTAGTTCATGAAGAAATAATGAAGGAGTAGCCCACACCTGGCCATGAACCGTTTTTGATTCAATTGTCCAATTGCTTTTGGTCCCTTGAAAAAGGGGGATGGCTATTCTTAAGAGCTGTAATTCATAAACCTTTCCCCCAATGTGGATGTACATCCCCTCAAATTACACCGGAGAGTGCGCACTGTCCGCCCATATCCATCATAGAACTAGAGGTGGGATGGGGGATGGGAAATACCAGAAAAAAACGAAAAATTTGTGCCTGAGTCCAATATATATGGACCAAACTGTATATGTATATGTGTGTGACTGATATATATATATATGGACCGAACTGTATATGTATATGTGTGTGACTGATATATATATATATGGACCGAACTGTAATTGAGGGAAGACATTCTAGTGTGAGCAGCGCAGGAGATCCTTCCCATCTGATGATGATGATGTCTGGTATTTCTGTAGGTACCAATAGGATCAGCCATGCTGTGCAGGGAGCCCACGAGGGCGGGATATTTGCGCTGTGCATGCAGAGAGACGGCACGCTGGTTTCTGGAGGAAAGGATCGCAAACTTATCTCCTGGGATGGAAATTATCAGAAGCTCAGTGTTGTGGAGGTGAGAGACCATATTTCTTGTGACAGAAGTATATATTTCAGAGGGTTTTTTTTACATTTGTTAACAAACATTCACATCACTTCCTGAAAATGTAGTGCGCCATTTAAACCCCAAAATGGTTATTTGCTCCCTTTTTGGCTGCTAAATATACCACTGAAAGTGTTTTGTGTTTTTTTTTTTGGGAGGTAAGATTATGTAGCTGAGGATGAGGGGAGGTCTGGGGTCTTTTAAATCCATTTAAAATGAAGTAGGCGGGGCTGACACCACGTGTTTAATAATTCAGAGCTGTGTTGTCATGTCAAAGAGGAAGGTGGGGGCACACACTATGTTTCTGGAAGGGGGGGGACACTATAAAAGTTGGACTGATATTTATAACAAGAATATAATACATACGCTATATAGCCCCAAGTATTGGGCTGACGGCCTTTTCACACACATGACCTTTAATGGCCCCCCAGTCTTAGTCCGTAGGGTTCAATATTGGGTTGGCCCCGCCCTTTTCACACACATGACCTTTAATGGCCCCCCAGTCTTAGTCCGTAGGGTTTAGTATTGAGTTGGCCCCGCCCTTTTCCACACACATGACCTTTAATGGCCCCCCAGTCTTAGTCCGTAGGGTTCAATATTGAGTTGGCCCCGCCCTTCCCCACACACACGACCTTTAATGGCCCCCCAGTCTTAGTCCGTAGGGTTCAATATTGGGTTGGCCCCGCCCTTTTCACGCACATGACCTTTAATGGCCCCCCAGTCTTAGTCCGTAGGGTTCAATATTGAGTTGGCCCTGCCCTTTCCACACACATGACCTTTAATGGCCCCCAAGTCTTAGTCCGTAGGGTTCAATATTGAGTTGGCCCCGCCCTTTGCAGCTATAACAGCTTCAACTCTTCTGGGAAGGCCCCCCACAAGGTTTAGGAGGGTGTCTATGGGAAGGTTCGACCATTCTTCCAGAAGCACATTTGTCAGGTCAGGCACTGATGTCGGGGGAGGGGCACTGATGTCGGGGAGGAGGCCTGGCTCGCAGTCTCCGCTCTAATTCATCCCAAAGGTGTTCTATGGGGTTGCGGTCAGGACTCTGTGCAGGACAGTCAAGTTCCTCCACCCCAAACTGGCTCCTCCATGTCTTTATGGACCTTGCTTTGTGCACTGGTGCGCAGTCATGTTGGAACAGGAAGGGGCCATCCCCAAACTCTTCTCAAAAGTTGTCCAAAATGTCGCCTTAAGAGTTCCCTTCACTGAAACTAGGGGGCCAAGCCCAACCCCTGAAAAACAACCCCCCACCATAATCCCCCCTCAACCAAACTTTACACTTGGCACAATGCAGTCAGGCAAGTACTGTTCTCCTGGCCACCACCAAACCCAGACATGCCCATCGGATTGCCAGACAGAGAAGCGTGATTGGTCACTCCAGAGAACACGTCTCCTCTACTCTAGAGTCCAGTGGCGGCGTGCTTTACACCACACCATCTGACGCTTTGCATTGCACTTGGTGATGGAAGGCTTGGATGCAGCTGCTCGGCCATAGAAACCCATTCCATGAAGCTCTCTACGCACTGTTGTTGGGCTCATCTGAGGACACACACCAAGTTTGGAGGTCTTTAGCTATTGACTCTGCAGACAGTTGGTGACTTCTGCGCACTGTGCGCTTCAGCATGCGCTGACCCCGCCCTGTCATGTGACGTGGCCTACCACTTGGTGGCTGAGTGGCTGTTGTTCCCAGTGGCTTCCACTTTCTTATAATCCCACTAACAGTTGGTGGAATATTTAGTAGCCAGGAAATGTCACGGATGGACTTATTGCCCAGGTGGCCACCTATCACGGGACCACGCTTGGAGTCACTGAGCTCCTGAGAGCGACCCATTCTTTCACCAATGTTTGTAGAAGCTGTCTGCATGTCTAGGGGCTTGATTGTATACACCTGTGGCCATGGAGGGGATTGGAACACCTGAATCACATGATATGGAGGGGATTGGAACACCTGAATCACATGATATGGAGGGGATTGGAACACCTGAATCACATGATTGGGAGGGGATTGGAACACCTGAATCACATGATATGGAGGGGATTGGAACACCTGAATCACATGATATGGAGGGGATTGGAACACCTGAATCACATGATTGGGAGGGGATTGGAACACCTGAATCACATGATTGGGAGGGGATTGGAACACCTGAATCACATGATATGGAGGGGATTGGAACACCTGAATCACATGATATGGAGGGGATTGGAACACCCGAATCACATGATCTGGAGGGGATTGGAACACCCGAATCACATGATATGGAGGGGATTGGAACACCTGAATCACATGATATGGAGAAGGGGGGACAATACATCTGGCAATATAGTGTATATACGGGGGGGGGGGCAATATTTGGGGCAATATAGTATATATATATATTTGTTGGGGGGGGGGCGGCAGGAATAAACATAATTTTGATTCCTTTTATACAAATCTTAGGTCCAGCAGTGTTCTGGCTGGTCATGTGACCTGCGAGGGGCTCCCTGTTTTGCGTTGGCGGGTCACAGGTAGTGAGGGGAGCTCCTTCCCTGCACCACTCAGCATATTATTATTATTATACAGGATTTATATAGCGCCAAAGGGTTTTCTCAGCGCTGTACATTATAGGGGGGACAGAACATGAGACAATACAGTAACAATACGATACACGAGGAGGGGGGGGGGGCCCTGATCCTTCGAGCTTACAGTCTAGGAGGGAGGGGAAGGTGATACAGGGGGAGATGGCTGTGGGGGATGGAGTGGTAGGAGGAGTGGAGGAGATCGGCTGTTAGGTGGGGGTGGGGTAGGCTTCACTGAAGAGATGGGTTTTCAGGGTGCGCCTAAAGGTGAGGAGGTTAGGGGACAATCTGGTGGATTGGGGAAGTGAGTTCCAGAGGATGGGGGAAGCTCTGGAGAAGTCCTGCAGTTGGACGTGGGAGGAGGAGACCAGGGAGCTAGAAAGTAGGAAGTCTTGTGAGGAGCGAAGATTACGGGTTGGGTGGTATTTGGGTATCAGGTCGGTGAGGTAGTTTGGGGCGGAGTTATGAATGGCTTTGTATGTCAGAGTTAGTACTTTGAATTTGATGTGTTGGGCAATCGGGAGCCAGTGGAGGGAATGACAGAGGGGGGTGGAGGACACTGTGTGGAGGTCAGTGGAGGGATTGGCAGAGGGGGGTGGAGGACACTGAGTGGAGGCCAGTGGAGGGATTGGCAGAGGGGGGTGGAGGACACTGAGTGGAGGCCAGTGGAGGGAATGACAGAGGGGGGTGGAGGACACTGAGTGGAGGCCAGTGGAGGGATTGGCAGAGGGGGGTGGAGGACACTGAGTGGAGGCCAGTGGAGGGAATGACAGAGGGGGGTGGAGGACACTGAGTGGAGGCCAGTGGAGGGATTGGCAGAGGGGGGGTGGAGGACACTGAGTGGAGGCCAGTGGAGGGATTGGCAGAGAGGGGGTGGGGGACACTGAGTGGAGGTCAGTGGAGGGAATGACAGAGGGGGGTGGAGGACACTGAGTGGAGGCCAGTGGGGTGGCAGAAGCGGAGCGGTTGGTAAGGTGGATGAGTCTGGCCGCTGAGTTCAGGAAGACTGAAGCGGGGATAGTCTGTGATGAGGGAGGCCGGTGAGGAGGGAGTTGCAGTAGTCCAGATGTGAGATGATGAGGGAGTGAACGAGTAGTTTAGTAGTGTCTGGGGTTAGGAACGAACGTATTTTGGAGATGTTGTGGAGGTGGAACCTGCATGCGGTAGTCAGCGATTGGACATGAGGTTGGAAGGACAGGTTTGAGTCTAGAGTGACACCTAGGACTTTGGCTTGCGTGGTGGGACTGATGGTAGCGTTGTTGGTCGTGATGGAGAGGTCTGGGGGGGGGGGGAGGCGCGGGCTGGGGGGAAAATTAGGAGCTCGGTTTTGGAAAGGTTCAGTTTGAGGAAGTGGAGTGACATCCAGTCTGATATGTCGTTCAGTAGGTGTGTGATTCGGGCGGAGACTGAAGGGGTGAGGTGGGGGGTGGAGACTGAAGAGGTGAGGTGAGGGGTGGAGAGGTAAATTTGCGTGTCATCGGTGTAGAGGTGGTAGTTGAAGCCGTGGGAGTGTATTAGTTTGCCGAGGGAGGAGGTGTAGATGGAGAAGAGAAGGGGCCCGAGGACGGAGCCTTGGGGGACCCCAACAGAGAGGGGGCGGTGGTGGCGTTATAGGTAACGCTGAAGGAGCATTGTGATAGGTAGGAGGAGAACCAGGAGAGGGCGGAGTCTCTGATGCCGAGGGAGTGTAGTTTAGTAAGGAGGAGGGGGGGGTGGTGGACGGGTGTGGAAGGCCGCGGAGAGGTGGAGGAGGAGTAGGAGCACTGAGTAGTGGCCATTAGCTTTGGCGGTTAGCAGGTCGTTGGTGAGTTTGAGTAGGGCAGTTTCGGTGGAGTGTGGGGCGGTTTCGGTGGAGTGTAGTGCGGTTTCGGTGGAGTGTAGGGCGGGTTCGGTGGAGTGTAGGGGGGTTTCGGTGGAGTGTAGGGGACAGAAGCCGGACTGTAGGGGATCGAGGAGGTTGTTGTCGGTGAGGTGGGAGCTCAGGCGATTGTAGACGAGGCGCTCGAGGAGTTTGGAAGTGAATGGCAGCAGGGAGATGGGTCTAAGGTTGTTCAGGTCGGTGGGGTCCAGGGAGTGTTTTTTGAGTATGGGGGGGATGTGGGCGTGCTTTGGGGGGGGAGGGGAATGCACCAGTAGAGAGGGAGAGATTAAAAATGTGAGCGAGGGAGCGTAGGATGGGGGAGGAGGGTGACCGGAGGAGTTGTGAGGGGACAGGGTCCAGGGGGCAAGTGGTGAGGCGGGCTCCTGAGAAGACCTTGGTGACCTCCTCAGTGGTAGCAAGGCTGAAGGAGTGGAGTGTTGGGGAGGTGAAGCTGTGCGGGATGTTCGGTGTGGTGGGGGAAGGGCAGTAGTGCGGTCAGAGGAGGGGAGAGTTGATGGGGTTATGGTGGGGGAGAGGCCAGGTGGGGAGGTGGGTTGAGCATGGGTGATGTCCTTACGGATTGCATCGATTTTATTCTGGAAGTGTTCGGCAATCTCGTGGGCGGTGAGTGAGGTGCTGGGTGGAGGTGGGGGGTGGCGAGAGTAGAGAGTTGAAGGTGGAGAAGAGCCGGCGAGGACAGGTGGGGAGGGGTGTTGATGAGGGTCAGGAAGTAGGCTTGTTTGGTGGCGTGGTGGGGAGGTGGTGTAGGTGAGGAAGGCAGATTTGTAGAGGGAGAACGCTCGGGGGGATCTAGTTTTGCGCCATAATCGCTCCAGCGCACGACTGCCACATTTAAGATGTTTAGTGTGGTCAGTCTGCCAGGGTTGAAGTGGTCGGGGTCTAATTCTACGTGTGGTTAGGGGTGTCAACGAGTCTAAGGCAGCTGATAGCAGGTTGATATACGCAGTAGTGGCCAGGTCAGGGCATGACGGGAAGGATTCTGTTGTACAGACGGTCAGCTGCAGAGTGGAGAGGGGCCGGGTCCAGGTTGGGGAGGTTGCTGCTGGTGATTGTTTGATGTGTGTGGGGGAGGTGTTAGAGGACCGGGAGATGGAGAACGTAATGAGGTTGTGGTCAGAGAGGGGGAAAGGGGTGTTTGAGAGGTTGCAGGGGGTGCAGTGATGGGAGAAGACGAGGTCCAGGGGTGTTCCCATTGGTGTGGGTGGAGGACTGTGTGCTGTGTGAGCTCAAAGGAGGAGGTTAAGCGGATGAGTTGGGAGGTGGCCGGGTTGTTGACATTGATGGGGATATTGAAGCCTCCAAGGATGATGGTGGGGAGCTCAGAGGAGAGGAAGAAGGGCAGCCAGGCGGCAAAGTCATCAAGGAAGCGGGATATGGAGCCTATAGATCACTGCAATCCTCAGAGGGGTGGGGGAGAAGAGTCGGATGCAGTGGGCCTCGAAGGAGAGAGAAGGATAGAGGGGGGGTTTGGAAGGACCTGGAAGCTGCTCAGCGGAGACAGGAGCAGGCCGACCCCACCGCCTCTACGACCGCTTGGTTTGGGTGAATCTGACCAGACGAGACCTCCATAGGAGAGGGCCGCAGGGGAGGCGGAGTCAGTGGCTTGGATCCAGGTCTCGGTGACCGCTAGGCAGTTGAGGGAGCGGGAGATAGAGGGGTCATGGATGGCGGTGAGCTTGTTGCAAACCGATCGGGCGTTCAGGAGTGGAACCGAGCATATGGATGTCTCCGCAGCCGGCGGTGTCCATGGCAGGCTTGGCTCTACAGGAAGGGAGTGGAATGGCCTCCATCCCCCACCATCCCCCACCATGAGAATAATCACGTCGGGCGCCTTCATGAGTGCCGTCAGTTTAGGGTCGTTCTTGGCGGTGAGCTCTACACTGAGGACTTCTCAAGGACAGTTTCCATTGTTTGTCCCCTTTCCTCGGGTGTGCAGTCTTATGTTGGGTATCTATTTACTGAACACAACCGCTTCTTCTGTTTTACCAAAACGCGTGAAAAAATGGCCGTAACTACACCGCTGCGCAGTCGGCGATACTCACTGCCTTCACTTTTTTACCCCATAAGATTCCAGAACAGTTTTGGACCGGTGCGGACCGTGGCGGAAGGAAAGGGGGACGTTGTACTCATTGGAACCACTAGAAACTTTGTGCTTCAGGGTACTTTATCCGGAGACTTCACCACCATTACCCAGGTAGGTACTTTCTAATGATTCATTGGGGTGATGGTAACCTGGAAACTCAGCACAGGGATGGTGGGAACTCCTGATAATGGGCACAGCAGGTGTACAGAGCCGGGAGCTCAGCACAGGGGTGGTGGGAACCCCTCATAATGGGCACAGGGATGGTGGGAACCCCTCATAATGAGCACAGGGATGGTGGGAACCCCTCATAATGGGCACCGCGGGTGTACAGATCCGGGAATTCAGCACAGGGATGGTGGGAGCCCCGCATAATGGGCACAGCGGGTGAACAGATCCGGGAATTCAGCACAGGGATGGTGGGAACCCCTTATAATGGGCACAGGGAGTGTACAGATCCGGGAATTCAGCACAGGGATGGTGAGAACCCCTCATAATGGGCACAGCGGGTGTACAGACCCGGGAACTCAGCACAGGGATATAGGGAGCCCCGCATAATGGGCACAGCGGGTGTACAGATCCGGGAATTCAGCACAGGGATGGTGGGAACCCCTCAATGGGCACAGCAGGTGTACAGATTTGGGAATTCAGCACAGGGATGGTGGGAACCCCTCAATGGGCACAGCAGGTGTACAGATCTGGGAATTCAGCACAGGGATGGTGGGAACCCCTCATAATGGGCACAGCGGGGGTACAGACCCGGGAATTCAGCACAGGGATGGTGAGAACCCCTCATAATGGGCACAGTGGGTGTACAGACCCGGGAACTCAGCACAGGGATATAGGGAGCCCCGCATAATGGGCACAGCGGGTGTACAGATCCGGGAATTCAGCACAGGGATGGTGGGAACCCCTCATAATGGGCACAGCGGGGTACAGATCCGGGAATTCAGCACAGGGATGGTGAGAACCCCTCATAATGGGCACAGCGGGGGTACAGAGCATATCAGAAATAAACAGAAACGTTTGTGAAAAAGAGCTCCACCTGTTGCCTGAATATTTGGATATTTGTGTGTAATATTCTGTATTTCCCTGAATATAAGTTGTTTTCCAGCTTTTATCCCTTCATGTGGATAACGAATAGAAAGTCGATGTGTCTACAAGAACAGATCCTCTGGTGTGACGAGAAGGGAATCTTCAATCCTCTCCACCCAGAGATATGGGAAAAGTCACGTGGCACCAAACGAATAGTAATGCAGCCAGTGAGCATGTCGGGTTCCACCAACTCTCTTCATAAATCTCCCCAAACGGCCACATGCATGTAAATAAAAAGGAAGAGCCACACCCTCAAACAGTGTGAAATCTGATGGCAGAATTTGTTTTAAAAAAGGTTAAAGAACTCACATGTGATATGGAACAACAACACCAAAACACAATACATATCCCGGGATCTGATTGGTAAAGGACTCATGCATGCGTGATGATGTCTGACTCTGCCCAACGTGTTTTCGTCCAATCTGACATCAGCAGCAGCATCAACAATTGGCACGGTGGAGCACAACTGAAGATTAGTGGATTCCCTCGTTGTCACATCAGAGGATCATTTCTTATAGACGCACCGACTTTCTTTCGCTATTGTATACACTTTGATAGGCCAGCAGAGACTCGTTCCAGAGGATTTCTTCAAGATTTGATTGAACATGTTTTCAGTCATTTAATTGCATGTTGATGGGGGAGGGGGGGTATAATGGGTGTTACATGCATATTTCAGACACTTCAGGTCTGTAAATCATGACCACACCCCGGGGTGATTGCCGCGCTCCATTGCCTGCCACATGTGGCCGCGGATCGTCTCGGCTCCATCCACCTACCATTGTCCATGTTGTGTCATTCAGGGTCATACGGATGAACTGTGGGGGTTGGGCGCACATTCCCAGAAGTCTCTGTTCCTGACCTGCGGCCATGACAAGCAGATCATGTTATGGGATGCCACAAGCCATCGCCCGGTCTGGAACAAAGTTATTGAGGTAAGTAGCCATTTCCTATGGGGTGAGCAGAAGGAAATTGGGGGGATTTGTGATTGGTTGGTTTCATCCAATTGACCATAATGGGAACTGTTCTCTTTCAGGACCCGGCCCAGTCTGCCGGATTTCATCCTAATGGCTCTGTTGTAGCAGTTGGGACTCTTACAGGAAGGTAGGTAACTTCTGGAGGTTAGTACTCCAGGAAAGGGGCGTATTACATGGGGACAATACCTGGACCTGAACCTACCAGCCAAAGGATGTGACACCCTTTTCAGTCATGTGATGGTTCAGAGGTGGCACAGGAAGCCACAGAAAGTAGTGGTGTCACCAGCTTGGCTGAGCTGTGTCTGAATCTCAAGACTTGCTGAACAGAATTACAAATAATTCCACAGTTGCAGCTCTTCATGGAAATGTGTTTTATCAGGATTTGTTATTATCTGCATTACAACATGATGACGTCATACGTGGACTGAATCTGTAACTGACGTTGTAGACAAACCGACATTATGTTCTGTTAAAATCTTTCCTTTCTACCCCTCCCCATTCATTGACCACAACCCTCACGTCCCCCATGGGGCACCACCCCACCACAATGCAGGGATGTTCAATGGCAGCTCACAAATGTTATGACTCATGGCGCATACCTGCATACATTGTGGAGGCAGCTCCCCCCAGTCCCCCCAGTGCTGACGGGCCAGGATGCCATGGGGGTAGAACCCGTCCCTTTCATTGCTCAAGGGGCATATAAAGCCCCATAATGTTGTAGGTGTCCTACTAGAAATGTTGGGTGGGAGGATCAACCCTAAAAGGGGTCCTCCACAGGTGGTTAAAGGAAAACCCTACTGATGGGTGCAGTCCTCGAGGACACCTGATCGAAGGGGATCTACAGTCCTGAACTTCCTAGATCTGCACTCTTTAGTAAGCAGTAATGTTTTGTACTCCTTGTCTCTGCATGTGGTTTGTAGATCTATGTGTAGACGGGGAACCTCATCACTATATGGCTAAATGTTTTTGGGCACCTGATGATAACACCTATGGTATGGCTAGAAGTAAATGGACCCCCCTACAAATGATGGGGTTCAGGTGTCCCCAGTGAGGGGTCCTGGTAATCCTCCATCATACAAAGACATTGGAGACAATTCCAGTCTTGTGGTAACTTCCAACAGACACCCTCCAAAGTCTTGTGCCAAACCCTCCTTAGAAGAGTGGAGGATGGTAGACACACAGAGGGGGGAACCTGCATATTGATGGGGGGAGGGGAACCTCATAACATTTCTTCTGGGTTTGGATTAGATTCTCCAACAAACACATATAGATGTGTGAGGGTTGGTTGTCCACAAACGTTTAGGCCATACGATCTACAGTCGTTCTTCCTGCCGGGTCGTAGTCCTTTTCTCTCATTGTTCGTTCATGGTGATGAGGATATGATGTTGGTGGCAGATGTTCCCCGGCTGGCCGTGTAGTGATGAGGATATGATGTTGGTGGCAGATGTTCCCCGGCTGGCCGTGTAGTGATGAGTGCTCGGTACACGTGGCTGCCTCGCTCTCTTCTCTGATTTCAGATCTTCTTCTGACAGGTGGTTTGTGTTAGACACGGAGACCAAAGACCTGGTCACGGTCCATACAGATGGCAACGAGCAGCTCTCCGTCATGTGCTACTCACCAGGTTGGTATCCCTTTCATCCCGTCCCCTGTGACTTCACACGTGGCTGTACACCATGGAACTCCTATAAAGGGAAGTGATTGGGTAATGCAGCTACTTCAGCTGATTGGACACGAGCACAACCCCTCCCACTCCCAGCATGCCTCATTTCTGTTCTTGCTGGTATCCTCAGGTGTACATTCCTCTTCTCTCTCTACTCTCATAGGGAATTCCTTTTCTTTGTTGTTTTTTTACACAATTTTTTGGGGATCGTGACTTTTCTATCAAAATGATGGAAAACGAAATGAATCGGCACTAGATGGCGATAACCAAAATAAAAAGTGGAAAATGATACAGAAGCAGCACTCTGTGATTGTCCGAATACATAAAACCTGCAGCCCCTCCCCTTTATATGAACCAGCAAAAGGGTAACTTTTCAGTGTTGAGGAAACAACACTAAAATGTTTAAAAAACTCACATTTTTCTTAGTTTTGTTATACAATTTTTCAAACAAGTATTTTTTCTTCATAAATTTAGGACAAAATTTATACTTTTACATTTCTTTGGTAAAAGTAACCCAAATCTGTGTATATTATTTAGTCTGTAGGAAAGTTATAGAGTCTACAAACTTCGGGATATATCTGAAAATTGATCAATCCTGATGTACTGATGGCCTATCTCATTTTTTGAGGCTCTAAAATTCTAGGACAGTACAAATCCCCCCCCCAAATGACCCCTTTTTGAAAATATACAGTCCAGGTTATTTATTAAGAGGCATGGCAAGTTTTTTGAAGTTGTAATTTTTTTTTACATTTTTGTGTAAATTAAAAAAATTAAGTAACATTTTTTGTTTTTTTGTTTTTCACAAGGTTGCAGTTTTAACAAGTTATGTCTCACACAGAATAGGCAAACATAGAATTACTCCCCAAAACACATTCTGCTGCTCCTCCTGCGTATGGCGATACCACATGTGTGGGACTGTTTCACAGCCTTGCCACATAGAGGGGCCCAAAATCAAAGGAGCAACTTCAGGCTTCCTTAGGACCTCAATTTATGGTTCTGATTACCTATCACATTTTTTGAGGCCTTGGAGTGCAAGGACAATGGAAACACCCACAAAATGACCACATTTTGGAAAGCAAACACCCCACGGTATGTTCTAACAGGCATGGGGAGTCTTTTGAAGACTTTTTTTGCCTCAAATTTTTAAAAATGCAGAATGAAAATGAAGTTTAATTTTAAGTTGTCAATTTACTGACATGATTTTTTGTTACTGTAAAATCCCTTTTTCTGAGTTTATTGATGGACACGGCTGATCCTTCGTTATTCATGACCAAACAGGGTTTAATAGCCCCCCCTACAGGAGTGGGACACTAGGCAGAAAAGATCTCGGCACCTCCTATGGGCGGTCCTCTCTGGGAATAAAACCCGCTCTCTGCTATAGGCCTCCAGTCAGTTACAAGCAGCGTCAAGGGGAAACACCTCGAGGGGTGGGCGCGGTGTCCGTCCGCGTGGGCGCGGTGTCCGTCCGCGTGGGCGCGGTGTCCGTCCGCGTGGGCGCGGTGTCCGTCCGCGTGGGCGCGGTTTCCCTCCGTGTGGGCGCGGTGTCCTTGCGCATGGGCGTGGTGTCCTTGCGCGTGGGCGCGGTTTCCCTTCGCGTGGGCGCGGTGTCCTTGCGCGTGGGTGCGGTTTCCCTCCGCGTGGGCGTGTTGTTCCTCCGCGTGGGTGCGGTTTCCCTCCGCATGGGCGCGTTTCCCTGATTATCGGTGTAGATGTCTCCTTTCACACTCACCACTGACACGCAGTACGTTCTGTACACTGTTGCAGCATGAGGATAACCGGCAACTGTTTACATCGTGATCAGCACTGATGATCCCAGCGGTGTCTGAAGGGCACAGAGAGCGCCGGGGGCGTGCAGTAGCGGGCGGCGGGAGGTGCGGTTCTGGGAGGACATCAGTAGACGCCATCCCAGAACTGGACAAGCGCGCTGTAGCCGCCATTCGCCTGTAGCGCGGTTGGCAAGTGGTGATTCAATCTGATTGTACAATCAGAAGATGTGAAAATGAAATATAAATAAATGATAAATAATAAAATAAATAATAATCAAATCATTTCTGGTAACGACCGTAATGGTCATCATCGCCATATACATTCTTGCCAATTAATTGATCTAAAAGGAATAGATTTATGCAAAACGATGAATGTATTCATTGAACCATACACCATACAATCTGATTGTACAATGGTAAAATGGTACAAAAAGGTGATGAAAATTTTTGTATTAATACTGCTAAGAATGATGAGACTTATTATAAAATAATACATTTTGGTTAAAAAAAAATTTTGAACCTAGTAAAACGTATAGAAATGACAAAATGTATCGAAAGGGCTAATAGGAGCCATACATTGTACGATCTGTCCGTCCAATCGTTGAGCAAACTGCTCATTTTTAAAAATCTCATGTATTATTATTATTATTACATGGAGTTTATATAGCGCCAAAGGGTTTGCTCAGCGCTGTACAATAGGGGGGACAATACATGGCACAGTACAACAAAGACAGACAGCGTACGAGGGGTTAGAGGGCCCTACTCTTACGAGCTTACAATCTAGGAGGGAGGGGGTAAAGGTACAGTAGGAAGTGGCTGAGGGGGATGAAGTGGTGGGAGGAATGAGGAAGGATGGCCTTTAGGTGAGGGTGGGGTAGGCTTCCCTGAAGAGATGGGTTTTGAGGGAGCGCCTGAATGTGAATAGGGAAGGCGACAGTCTGATGGATTGGGGCAGTGAGTTCCAGAGGATGGGGGAGGACCTGGAGAAGTCCTGCAGTCGTGCATGGGAGGAGGAGACCAGGGAGCAGGATAGAAGGAGGTCCTGTGAGGAGCGAAGGGTACGGGTAGGGTGGTACTTGGTGATCAGGTTGGTGAGGTAGTCAGGGGCAGTGTTGTGAACGGCTTTGTATGTCAGAGTTAGGAGTTTAAATTTGATGCGTTGAGCAATCGGGAGCCAGTGGAGGGATAGGCAGAGGGGGGTGGAGCCAGTGGAGGGAGAGGCAGAGGGGGGTGGAGCCAGTGGAGGGAGAGGCAGAGGGGGGTGGCAGAGGTGGAGCGGGTGGTGAGGTGGATGAGTCTGGCAGCTGAGTTCAGGATGGTCTGGAGCGGGGAGAGCCTGCACTGGGGTAGGCCAGTGAGGAGGGAGTTGCAGTAGTCCAGGCGTGAGATGATGAGGGAGTGTACGAGTAGTTTGGTGGTGTCTGGGGTGAGGAAGGAGCGTATCTTGGCAATGTTGCGGAGATGGAGCCTGCATGTGTTTGTGAGTGATTTGACATGCGGTTGGAGGGAGAGGTTCGAGTCAAGAATGACGCCAAGGACTTTGGCTTGGGGGGCGGGAGTGATAGTGGAGTTGTTGGTGATGATGGATAGGATGGGGGGGGGGGGGGGGGGGGGTTGGCAGGGGGAAAGATGAGGAGCTCGGTTTTGGAGAGGTTGAGCTTGAGGATTAAGGGGTAACATTCAAACAGTCCATTCCATTGGTGGATCTAAGAACTACTGTGCAATTTGATTGTATTGTGTGTGTGCCACCTAGAAGGTTCTCGTTGTATACCAACATGTCCGCAGTCTCTGGTCATCTCCTGTACTATGTCTGCAGTCTCTGGTCATCTCCTGTACTGTCCGCAGTCTCTGGTCATCTCCTGTACTGTGTCCGCAGTCTCTGGTCATCTCCTGTACTGTGTCCGCAGTCTCTGGTCATCTCCTGTACTGTGTCCGCAGTCTCTGGTCATCTCCTGTACTATGTCTGCAGTCTCTGGTCATCTCCTGTACTATGTCTGCAGTCTCTGGTCATCTCCTGTACTGTGTCTGCAGTCTCTGACCCTCTCCTGTACTGTGTCTGCAGTCTCTGGTCATCTCCTGTACTGTGTCTGCAGTCTCTGGTCATCTCCTGTACTGTGTCTGCAGTCTCTGGTCATCTCCTGTACTGTGTCTGCAGTCTCTGGTCATCTCCTGTACTGTGTCTGCAGTCTCTGACCCTCTCCTGTACTGTGTCTGCAGTCTCTGGTCATCTCCTGTACTGTGTCTGCAGTCTCTGACCCTCTCCTGTACTGTGTCCGCAGTCTCTGGTCATCTCCTGTACTATGTCTGCAGTCTCTGGTCATCTCCTGTACTATGTCTGCAGTCTCTGACCCTCTCCTGTATCATGTCTGCAGTCTCTGACCCTCTCCTGTACTATGTCTGCAGTCTCTGACCCTCTCCTGTACTATGTCTGCAGTCTCTGACCCTCTCCTGTACTATGTCTGCAGTCTCTGGTCATCTCCTGTACTATGTCCGCAGTCTCTGGTCATCTCCTGTACTATGTCTGCAGTCTCTGACCCTCTCCTGTACTATGTCTGCAGTCTCTGACCCTCTCCTGTACTATGTCTGCAGTCTCTGACAGTGTTCTGTAGCTTCCCTGATTATTATTTATGGCCCTTTTGTGATGTTGAAGGTTTTATCTAGAATCCATTGCTGTGATGCGATGTGACGTCCCCCGGATCTCCGGCACCATTCACTTCTTTCCTCCGGTTTCCTCCTCTTTTCTGCTGACTAATCTCCTCTTTTCTCCCTCTCTGAATAGATGGAAATTTCCTCGCAATCGGTTCCCATGACAACTACATCTATATTTATGCCGTTAATGAGAATGGAAAGAAATACAGTCGGATCGGGAAATGCTCGGTGAGTTTTAACCATTTCAATACCGTGCAATTTTACACCCCCCCCCCCCAGGCCATTTTTCAGGTTTCAGCGCTCTCACACTTTGAATGACAATTGCGCGGTCATACAACATTATACCCAAACTAAAATTTTATCATTTTCTTCACACAACTAGAGCTTTCTTTTGGTGGTATTTAATCACCGCTGGGGTTTTTATTTTTTGCTAAATTAACAAAAAAAGACCAAGCATTTTGAGAAAAAAAAACATTTTTCTTTGTTTCTGTTATAAAAGTTTACAAATAAATAATTGTTCTTCATAAATTTAGGCCGAGATGTATTCTGCTCCATGTCTTTGGTGGAAATAACCCAAATTAGGATGTATTATTTAGTTTGTAGGAAAGTTATAGAGTTCACAAACTATGGGATAGATCTGAATATTGATCAATCCTGAAGTACTGACAGCCAATCTAATTTCTTGAGGTCCAAGAATGTCAGAATAGTACAGATATCCCCCAAATGTCAGGACAGTACAGATATCCCCCAAATGTCAGGACAGTACAGATATCCCTCAAATGTCAGGACAGTACAGATATCCCCCAAATGTCAGGACGGTACAGATATCCCCCAAATGTCAGAACAGTACAGATATCCCCCAAATGTCAGGACGGTACAGATATCCCCCAAATGTCAGGACGGTACAGATATCCCCCAAATGTCAGGACGGTACAGATATCCCCCAAATGTCAGGACAGGACAGATATCCCCCCAAATGTCAGGACAGTACAGATATCCCCCAAATGTCAGGACAGTACAGATATCCCCCAAATGTCAGGACAGGACAGATATCCCCCCAAATGTCAGGACAGTACAGATATCCCCCAAATGTCAGAATAGTACAGATATCCCCCAAATGTCAGGACAGTACAGATATCCCCCAAATGTCAGAACAGTACAGATATCCCCCAAATGTCAGGACAGTACAGATATCCCCCAAATGTCAGGACAGTACAGATATCCCCCCAAATGTCAGGACGGTACAGATATCCCCCAAATGTCAGGACAGGACAGATATCCCCCAAATGTCAGGACGGTACAGATATCCCCCAAATGTCAGGACAGGACAGATATCCCCCCAAATGTCAGGACAGGACAGATATCCCCCCAAATGTCAGGACGGTACAGATATCCCCCAAATGTCAGGACGGTACAGATATCCCCCAAATGTCAGGACAGGACAGATATCCCCCAAATGTCAGGACGGTACAGATATCCCCCAAATGTCAGGACAGTACAGATATCCCCCAAATGTCAGGACGGTACAGATATCCCCCAAATGTCAGGACAGGACAGATATCCCCCAAATGTCAGGACAGGACAGATATCCCCCAAATGTCAGGACGGTACAGATATCCCCCAAATGTCAGGACAGGACAGATATCCCCCAAATGTCAGGACGGTACAGATATCCCCCAAATGTCAGAACAGTACAGATATCCCCCAAATGTCAGGACAGGACAGATATCCCCCCAAATGTCAGGACGGTACAGATATCCCCCAAATGTCAGAACAGTACAGATATCCCCCAAATGACCCCTTTTTGCAGAGCAGACAGTCCGACGTACTTCATAAGAGGAATGGCGAGTTTTTTGAAGTTGTATTTTTATGTCATAATTTTTCGGAAAATGAAAAAATTAAAAAAATTATTTTCACAATTTTTTTTTTTTACATACTGTCACCAGTGCAGTACAGCGTCATCATATAACTGGCATGGCGGTGAACAGGGACACTGACTGGTGACAGTATGAAAAAAAAAATATATATATATTTTTTTTTTATTTTTTTTATTTTTTTATTATATTTAATTTTTTATTACATTTTTTTTTTTATTTTTTTTTAGGTTTTTTTTTCATATTTTACTATGACCAAAGTAGTACAATGTTACCATAGTAACACTGTACTACTTTGGGGAAGTGATCAGTATTTTTTTTTTTTTTTACACAATTTGCTTATAGCAAAGAATTACTTTCCTCTCAGCAAGCATTTACCTGAATGAAATCGATTCATTCAGCTTTTTTTTTTTTTTTTTTTTGTGCTTAGCTGTGATTTGGTCACAGCTAATCACATGACATGTGCATGTGATTAGCTGTGACCATTCACAGCTAGGCACTAGTATACAATGGATGGCATCATGAATGAAGCCATCCATTGTATACAACTGTCATGTGACCTGCTGTGATTGGTCACAGCAGGTCACATGGTACCAGCAACGGGAGTCGGTACTCGGATCTGTCATCGGCCGTGTCCGAGGTGCACGGCCGGTGACAGATCGCACTGCTGCGCCGCTCTGCATTAGCGCAAACTGCGCATGTGCGGGAGCACGCCAAATGGCGTGCACCCGGAATGAAGAGGCACATCTGAAGCTGCCAAACGGCCATTGGCCGGGCAGCTAATGGTTAAAGACGCAGAAGAAGTTTTTACTTTGGCTGGAGTTCCCCTTTAACTGAACATGACATTTCCCCACCCAGGGTCACTCCAGCTTCATCACTCACCTGGACTGGTCTGTGAACTCCCAATATCTGATGTCCAATTCTGGGGACTATGAGATCCTGTACTGTGAGTATATCGGACTTCCTGCTCTAGGGGGACACCGATCTGTCATTGTGCTCCTGTGTTGTCGGGTGTGTAGGCAACATAAATGTCATCTAATCATCGTCTGATCCAACCAATTGCTGATCTATCAGGAAATTTTCTGTGGGTGCTCCCCTCCCCCCATATCATACATCTGTGGGTGCTCCCCCTTACCGTGTGCTCCCCTCCCCCCATATCATACATCTGTGGGTGCTCCCCCTTACCATCTGCTCCCCTCCCCCCATATCATACATCTGTGGGTGCTCCCCCTTGCCATGTGCTCCCCTCCCCCATATCATACATCTGTGGGTGCTCCCCCTTACTGTGTGCTCCCCTCCCCCCATATCATACATCTGTGGGTGCTCCCCCTTACCGTGTGCTCCCCTCCCCCCATATCATACATCTGTGGGTGCTCTCCCTTACCGTGTGCTCCCCTCCCCCCATATCATACATCTGTGGGTGCTCACCTTACTGTTGCTCCCCTCCCCCCATATCATACATCTGTGGGTGCTCCCCCTTACCGTGTGCTCCCCTCCCCCCCATATCATACATCTGTGGGTGCTCCCCCTTACCGTGTGCTCCCCTCCCCCCATATCATACATCTGTGGGTGCTCCCCCTTACCTTGTCTAGGCTCTAACAGCAATGCCCTTCGACTGTCCAGACCCTGCAGAGGTTTGAGTGGATCCTAGATCTCCAGAATATTGCACTGGAACTGTCTCATCCCTTGTAGTATCTGTGCTTGGGTACAGCCCGGTCCAAATCCTCACAATAGTCTGGGAGGTTCTCTCGATGGATGCTGCCGCTCTCCCAGTCAAGGGACTTGGCCACCAGTGATAGCTCATCTCCTAATCAGTGTTCTGGAACTCTGAGCGATTTGGCTGTCCCTTCAATGCTGCTGAACTTATCTGTGGAGTCATCTGACCAGGGTTCTGTTGGACAAAGCCATGGCAGTGGTTTGCATCAACTATCAGGGAGGAACCAGAAGTCAAGTAGTTCAACGGGAAGCAAATCTGTTACTTACTGGGGTGGAAAGTCATGGTCCAGCCCTATTCACCAAGAACACTCAGGACATGAAATAATGGCAGATGAACTTCCTATGTTGCTAATGTCGGATTCTGCAGAGTAGTCTCTTCACCGTGAGGTGTTTTAGACCTTTGCTGATGTGGACCTTCTGGCTTCCAGGTTCAACTTCAACCTGGACAGGTTTGTCTCCAAATCCAGGAATCCTCTAGCCTTCACGGTGGATATCCTGGTGACTCTGTGGGATCAGTTCAGCATGATTTATGCCTTTACTCCCATAAAACCTCTTCCTTGCCTGGTGACTCCCATTGCACCAACCTGGCCAGATGGCCACCGTGCTTGAACCTCATCATGTCCCTGGGAAAGTCTGTGTGCCTTCTCGGTTGCTGGCTTCATCCTGAGGAACACTAGCCCAAATGACGGTTATCTCTACACTCCTGAAGGTTAGGAGGTCGTCTCGCACCGTCTACCATCGCACTGGAAAGCTTGTTGCTTAGCCTAAAGGACACCTTTCTTGTGCTTCACAGGGACATGGTTTTTTTGAGTCCCAGGGCCTCCTTCCTTCCAAGGTGGTTTTCTTTCTTTCACATTAATCTCATATTCATCTACCTTTCATTAATCCAACTCTGTCATTCCTGTAGGTCCTTGTAGGGGACAGTTTACCTCTCCTTCCACTATCTGTAGGTGGATTTGACAGTTCATTGTGCAAGTTTATGACCTTGGTGCGAGGTGTCCCCACTTCTCAAGGTCAGTTAGCCCTTCCAGAGCTTTTCAGCTTCTGTTGTTCAGGTTTGTAAGGGTGCCATCCAGTCCCCGCTGTTCACCAGAAGCCTCAGCTGGTGCCAGGTTTGGTAGTAAGGTTCGTTAGGCGGCACTACTGGACCTGTAGGCCTTTTGTTTGCCATTGCCAACCCCTCACTTCATCCTGTGTCCTGTATTGTACGCAAGAAAAATAATTCACAGGGAAGACCAAAATCTAGCCAGTGCTCTTCTCTGTTCTCCACCATCCGAGGTTGTGGGTGAGCCGGTCCTGCATTGTGTGTGATGGCATCAGAAAGTCTGCGAACAGCAGAACAACAAGACAACTTTAGGGGATCGGTCATGCAGCTGGGAAGGAAGAATGGAGGAGCAGATAATGAGGTATTCTAGCGTATTGTTATCCCCCCCCCCCCCCCCCCCCGACTAAAGGAGCATTTAACCCTGGCTATGGGAGGGGGGCGGTACTTCTCTTCTTCCTTTCTTCTGTCTGGAGTTAACTTTTCACATTAATAGATGGTAAAACACCAGCGCACGACTTCTAGCGTTCTCTCCCATAATCCTCTGTTCCATTAATAGTCTGCTGTTCTAGACTTTCCAGCAGAGGTAGGGAGTCGGCCAAGAGTACGTGGATTCGAACATGCCCGGGACAAACAGATCTATATTCGGACTAAAAGCAAACGAACCAAAAATGTGTATAAATGAAAGGAACAATTGGTCAGACTGGATGCACCACGTGCTCTTTTTCTGCCGTCACTCTTCTATGCTTCTGTCTATGTATACTGTAGTTGCCTTTTGAATTGCTGAGGCCATAAGCATAGGTTGGGTATGGGTTGGGTATGGGTTGGGTATGGGTTGGGTATAGGTTGGGTATGGGTTGGGTATAGGTTGGGTATGGGTTGGGTATGGGTTGGGTATAGGTTGGGTATGGGTTGGGTATGGGTTGGGTATGGGTTGGGTATGGGTTGGGTATAGGTTGGGTATGGGTTGGGTATGGGTTGAGTATAGGTTGGGTATGGGTTGGGTATAGGTTGGCATACAAGATACACATCACTCGCTGCTTACCCTTCCAGGGATCCCAACAGCCTGCAAGCAAGTGGTCAGTGTGGAAACAACTCGGGATCTAGAATGGGCCACATACACCTGCACCCTCGGATTCCAGGTTTTTGGTAAGTCTGCGTTCTTCTTTCTTCTTCTTTTGTAGCTGTTCAGGCAACTTGAAAAAAGTGATTTGAATGAAATTATTATTATTATACAGTATTTCTATAGCGGCAGAAGGTTTGCTCAGCGCTGTACAATAGCGGGGGGGGACAGAACATGAGACGAGACAGTAACAATACAATACACGAGGGGTTCGAGGGCCCTGATCCTTGGAGCTTACAATCTAGGAGGGATGAATATTGCCTTCCCAAAGGGTTACATATTAGTACCATATGGTGAGTAAACTGACTTATGTGATTGCGTATGTAGCCCCCCAACATCTCCAGGGGGTACACAGTACATTTTTATCGGTTGGAAAATTGACACAACAAACTATCATTCACAAGCAGTCTTGATGATCCATCCAAGCATAGTTGCAGGTAGACTTAACGGGGGCTCCCCGCAGGCTTCTCATTGACCCCCGTGTTTTGTCCTCCCACAGGGGTGTGGCCTGAAGGTTCGGACGGAACAGACCTCAATGCCATCTGTAGATCTGGAGATCAGAAGCTCTTGGCCACTGGGGATGATTTTGGAAAAGTTCATCTCTTTTCATATCCTTCTTCGCAGTTCCGGGTACGTTACAAATACTTCCTGTAAATAAGTCTGTAATCAGAATTCTACAATTACGTAGCGGCATTACGTATGGTCAGGAAAGCATTCACAGGAAGCCCTGCCCCTGAGGAGTTTATCAGTCTCTTTCACATAGATACCTTTTAGAGCCAGTTTGGTCAGGAGTCAGTTGACCAACATATTTTTTGAGTGGATTTCCGTCATGTTCCAGTTTCCTTTCACTTAACAAACCTATATAGAATCCCTGATAGGAACGTGGCTTAGGACCTCAGCCCCAGGATCTGAGCCCTCAGCACTAGATCAGCCTCAGTTTTGTCTTAGAGTATGAAGGTGCCAAACAATTGTCATTCTTCTTTCTCCTCAGGCATCCAGCCACGCCTATGGTGGACATAGCAGCCACGTCACAAATGTGACCTTTTTACATGAGGACAGCCACCTAATCTCTACCGGTGGGAAAGACATGAGTATCATGCAATGGCGCCTTCTCTGATGCCACCAGATGCCTTGGAGATTGCTCCAGGAGAAGATCTTCACCACCGCTTGCCTTCTCGAGTATGATGTTTTCTTTGAGAGTGTCGGAGACCTCTTATAAAAGATCTCAGGAAACCAACACCTCCTTCACTGGTCACCTGACCTCCCAACGTCACCTCTCAGATTTCCGAAAGGGGAACAATCTATATCTGTGGTGCCCAGCTGGTGGCCATAGTAGAGTTTTGTTAATTGTTTTCTTTTATTCTGTCCCGTAATGCAGAGTTTTGTGACGCTGGATCAGAGAATGGAATGAGAAGCTGCAGTGGTTAGGTTGTGTTGTTGGGTATTGCCGCCTCATTCAGTGCAGTCTTTGTTCACAGGCTTGCAGTGGTCAGGAAGGTGCCCAGCATTCATTTATTAGAGTTTCATTGGATCTCAAAGAATCATCAATTCACTTAGTTGGAGGAGGAATAACACTAAAACCTGATTTCTTTTTTCTGTTACTTATACGTAAAATTAGAAAAACAAAGTTGATGTCCTGGGGGTGCCGACCCGCATCTAGGAACCCCAAATCCTGGTGGTTGGCTCACCACTGGTGTACACTTACACTCATGACACCATAACTCGATAAGCATGAAGGTCTTCTATGTAGACGCCACGTCTTCTATTATATAATGTACGCCTTTCCTGGCCTTTCCTGGCCATCTCACCTCTTATCCGTCACCGTAGACAGTATTCAGTCCAAGATGGGAAGATCCCATTGGTAACCCATTCATCAAACGGTCTATGTGAATGTTCTGTTGGTGTTCTGTATAAGTTCCGGCTTGTAGTGTATTTGCTCGTTCTCGGTCAGTCATATCCACATTGCAGATCATATTAATATTCGGATATCTGGGCATTGTGAATGTTTTATTTCCACGGAATGTATTTCCAAACATTTGTGTGTACCGCTTGGGGGTGGCTGTATAAATTGCAATAATGTTTTTTTAATGATCCTTTTTTTTTCACTGGGTGCTAATGGTAACAGTTGAAGTGGAATGTCCCCTCTGGGGTGGGGTCATCTTTGGGGCGGGTCAGACTGTCCCCTCTGGGGTGGGGTCATCTTTGGGGCGGGTCAGACAGGTGCTTTTTTTTTAACCCCATATAAGATATTGCACATGACTAATGTCCCGCCTATCGGAATGTATTGTCAAAGCACTTAACATGCCTTAAGAATTTGCTAACATTGCAGAACATTCTTCATCCAAGGTGAGAAAGTCGCTATACTGAGACTTACCTCGCGGTGTCTGTGCGAAGGTCACGTGGCACCATCTTGACAGATCCTGCGCAAAAAAAAAAATTGATGTGCTGCAATTAGCACACATCTGACATCACCCTCACTGGGGGGGGGGCAGCCATTTTGTGGGTGGGACCAGTAAACCTCCTATCAGTTCCCAGGATGTCAGTAATTGAGAGTAGAGACACAAAATTACAGATGTAACCCCTCCCCCAACCCCCCCCTCCGGGGACGCTCGGTACAGCTCTGCCATCACAATGGGTGTCTGCCCTCCATGGCTCCTTCTGGATGATGATTCACAAATGCAGCGATTACCAGCACTCCACGCTTGGGTTCTCATCCGGCTTCATTTGTATCGCGCCAACCAAACACTTCCTGCTAACGCATTTCACTCCATATGGTACTCAATCAGAGATGTAAACGGCATCGGAGGGAAGAGTTTGTTCAGTTGGTGTTCTACAAATAAAGGTGCCGCGCCACAAAGCAGAGAACGTCTCCAGAACAACATCCACATCATATAGTCCAGGTGATCACATGACCCATGAAGAACCTCATAGGACCCCCGTCATCAGACATGTGGTGTGAAGGGTCTGCGCAGTGAATGTGATGTGGGCGGGGTGATCCTCATCCATGGTGCACTGGCCTCAAATATTCTGTGGAATGGAAACCTGAACACTGGAAGGAGGTGAATGTTCCATTCAGTTCTCAGCAACTCCCAAATAAACAAATAATTGGTTCATATTGTACAGGACCAATCATGTACAAGGGGCGTGGCAAGTTTCTGTTTGCTCTGGAGCTCTCCTTTAAGGACGTCAGACTGGGGAGGAGTTTGCCTTAATGTTATGGGAGCCTTTCAATCAATTGGTTGAGATATTGGAAGTGTCTGGGTGATGGATGATGGACAAAGGGAGGGACTGGTCAGATGTCACAGAGGTCTGGATGATGGACATGTAGAGGGACTGGTCAGATGTCACAGAGGTCTGGATGATGGACAAAGGGAGGGACGGGTCAGATGTCACGGAGGTCTGGATGATGGACATGTAGAGGGACGGGTCAGATGTCACGGAGGTCTGGATGATGGACAAAGGGAGGGACGGGTCAGATGTCACGGAGGTCTGGATGATGGACATGTAGAGGGAGCGGTCAGATGTCGCAGAGGTCTGGATGATGGGCAGGCAGAGGGACTGGTCAGATGTCGCAGAGGTCTGGATGATGGGCAGGCAGAGGGAGCGGTCAGATGTCGCAGAGGTCTGGATGATGGACAGGCAGAGGGAGCGGTCAGATGTCGCAGAGGTCTGGATGATGGACAGGCAGAGGGAGCGGTCAGAAGTCGCAGAGGTCTGGCTGATGGGCAGGCAGAGGGAGCGGTCAGATGTCGCAGAGGTCTGGATGATGGGCAGGCAGAGGGAGCGGTCAGATGTCGCAGAGGTCTGGATGATGGGCAGGCAGAGGGAGCGGTCAGATGTCGCAGAGGTCTGGATGATGGACAGGCAGAGGGAGCGGTCATATGTCGCAGAGGTCTGGATGATGTGCAGGCAGAGGGAGCGGTCAGATGTCGCAGAGGTCTGGATGATGGGCAGGGCAGAGAGAGCGGTCAGATGTCGCAGAGGTCTGGATGATGGACAGGCAGAGGGAGCGGTCAGAAGTCGCAGAGGTCTGGATGATGGACAGGCAGAGGGAGCGGTCAGAAGTCGCAGAGGTCTGGATGATGGACAGGCAGAGGGAGCGTTCAGATGTCGCAGAGGTCTGGATGATGGACAGGCAGAGGGAGCGGTCAGATGTCGCAGAGGTCTGGATGATGGACAGGCAGAGGGAGCGGTCAGATGCCGCAGAGGTCTGGATGATGGACAGGCAGAGGGAGCGGTCAGATGTCGCAGAGGTCTGGATGATGGGCAGGCAGAGGGAGCGGTCTTATGCCGCAGAGGTCTGGATGATGGGCAGGCAGAGGGAGCGGTCAGATGTCGCAGAGGTCTGGATGATGGACAGGCAGAGGGAGCGGTCAGATGTCGCAGAGGTCTGGATGATGGGCAGGCAGAGGGAGCGGACTTATGCCGCAGAGGTCTGGATGATGGGCAGGCAGAGGGAGCGGTCAGATGTCGCAGAGGTCTGGATGATGGACAGGCAGAGGGAGCGGTCAGATGTCGCAGAGGTCTGGATGATGGGCAGGCAGAGGGAGCGGTCAGATGTCGCAGAGGTCTGGATGATGGACAGGCAGAGGGAGCGGTCAGATGTCGCCAGAGGTCTGGATGATGGACAGGCAGAGGGAGCGGTCAGATGTCGCAGAGGTCTGGATGATGGACAGGCAGAGGGAGCGGTCAAATGTCGCAGAGGTCTGGATGATGGACAGGCAGAGGAGCGGGTCAGATGTCGCAGAGATCTGGATGATGGACAGGCAGAGGGAGCGGTCAGATGGCGCAGAGGTCTGGATGATGGACAGGCAGAGGGAGCGGTCAGATGTCGCAGAGGTCTGGATGATGGACAGGCAGAGGGAGCGGTCAGAAGTCGCAGAGGTCTGGCTGATGGACAGGCAGAGGGAGCGGTCAGAAGTCGCAGAGGTCTGGATGATGGGCAGGCAGAGAGAGCGGTCAGATGTCGCAGAGGTCTGGATGATGGGCAGGCAGAGGGAGCGGTCAGATGTCGCAGAGGTCTGGATGATGGACAGGCAGAGGGAGCGGTCAGATGTCGCAGAGGTCTGGATGATGGACAGGCAGAGGGAGCGGTCAGATGTCGCAGAGATCTGGATGATGGACAGGCAGAGGGAGCGGTCAGATGGCGCAGAGGTCTGGATGATGGACAGGCAGAGGGAGCGGTCAGATGTCGCAGAGGTCTGGATGATGGACAGGCAGAGGGAGCGGTCAGATGTCGCAGAGGTCTGGATGATGGACAGGCAGAGGGAGCGGTCAGAAGTCGCAGAGGTCTGGCTGATGGACAGGCAGAGGGAGCGGTCAGAAGTCGCAGAGGTCTGGATGATGGGCAGGCAGAGAGAGCGGTCAGATGTCGCAGAGGTCTGGATGATGGGCAGGCAGAGGGAGCGGTCAGATGTCGCAGAGGTCTGGATGATGGACAGGCAGAGGGAGCGGTCAGATGTCGCAGAGGTCTGGATGATGGGCAGGCAGAGGGAGCGGTCAGATGTCGCAGAGGTCTGGATGATGGACAGGCAGAGGGAGCGGTCAGATGTCGCAGAGGTCTGGATGATGGGCAGGCAGAGGGAGCGGTCAGATGTCGCAGAGGTCTGGATGATGGGCAGGCAGAGGGAGCGGTCAGATGTCGCAGAGGTCTGGATGATGGACAGGCAGAGGGAGCGGTCAGATGTCGCAGAGGTCTGGATGATGGACAGGCAGAGGGAGCGGTCAGATGTCGCAGAGGTCTGGATGATGGACAGGCAGAGAGAGAGCGGTCAGATGTCTGGATGATGGGCAGGCAGAGGGAGCGGTCAGATGTCGCAGAGGTCTGGATGATGGATTCAGATGAAGGGACCGGTCAGGATTCATCTGATGGAAAACATTTGGTATGAAATGTCCCGCTAATTGTTATGCAGGAATTGTGATTAGCGGCTTCCTCTAAACATCTGCATCTAGGACATTGGCGTGGGGGGTGGGGCTTGGGGAGGTACAGCGTCCATTAGTCCCATCAATTAAAGTTCAGCAATTTAAAGGGTCTGTCCATGGTGGAGAGGCCACTCCCTTCTTTTAGTCCTGTGGCAGCCCCTGTTGGGTTTCTTGGCCCAGTATAGAACAGACTGGTTGGATTTTGTGCTGTTCGGCTATTGGTGTGATTTTTGTGGTCGGACTAACCCAGGAAAGCCGTACACCCCCCCCCCCCCATCCCAATCCTATCCTTGGTGGGGGAGTCACACCCGGGACACATGGCGCTGTTCCTATCATAAGAAAGTCCAATTGGTCTGTTTTGGATGGGCGGTTTCTGATTTTCATCTGGGATGGGTTCCAGCTCCGCCCACTGCAGCCATTATTAGTCCTAGTCTCCCTGTGCAGCAGGAGGAATGAGACTCCGCATGGGTACTTGGTTGAGTGTAACTGATGGTAAGAGAATCATGTGGGTCACTCAGTCCTCATTCACCCGGGGTGTGTGAGTCTGCGCCCGTGTTTACCCGCGGGGGGTGTCACATTGGGAGACCTGAATGGGAATGCATAGTCCACCTGTACAGGTAAACCTGACCCTCACCTGGGGACGGATTTGTAATGGGAACGAGGCCTTCGCCTGCCAGGATCTGCCCAGATATCACCTACAACAACTTGGAATTGTGTCCCGTTGCTATGGGTTACGTCAGTGTTGTCTGTTTGAGCCCCGCTACTGATTCTGATCTTCTATGTAAAGACGTTCAATGCCGACCTCAGCGGCTGATTAAGACTTTTGAATGAAGGCGTGTCCTGAGAATTCAGCCAAGTGCCTTCCGTGTACTCCGGTATCATGAAGCTAATTGCAATAACCTGATGAAGGAATGAGGCTCTGGGGGGGCCGGTCCGCTCCAAACTGGTGTGTAGGGTTCCTGTAGTCCAGTGGTAAGATATCCCCACTGCGGGGCCTGGCTCCACCCACATACTGAATAATCGCAGTCGGTGGGTGGAGCCAGGAGTGCTGACAACTGTCTGAATGGTGGAGGAGATTCGGCGTGCCCGCCTGCACCCACAACTGAAGAATTGGATTTGGTTGGCCTGACCCTTCATTGGAGGAATGTCGCTTTCGGTGATTCTTCTCGCCAATACGCACCAAGCTTTCGCTGTAATGGTTTCCGGAATGTGGGAGGAGCCCGGCTTTATGTTTGTTTTGTTTTTTACTCCTGTGATCTTGTAAATTTGTATTCTGAAGGTGCAACACGCATGTAAAGTCTTTTATTGTACTCTTACGTTTGCATGGAAGGGAACCTGAAGGCAGATGGACCCGGAGTCCCGTCATCGCCCGCCGCCCAGGCTTGGCCGCTTTGTACCTTCAATGGGAGAGAATTCAGCAAAACTTTATTGTATCTGATTGTTCAGAAAAGTCTTGAATTGTTTACATTGGAATCTATGGAATAAATCCCGTTTGTTATGAAGTATATGGCGTTTGTGTTTGATTGGCCACAATCCGCACCGCCGCAGGTTCAAGGAGAACTCAAAAAATGTAACCCCTTGGGGCAGGGTTCTCCAAACTGGCCCACGGGCCACAGCCGGCCCACTATAGGATGGTATCTGACCCACTGCAAGTGACTATAAAATCCCCCCCCCCCCCCACTGGATGCCCTGTGGAGACTGGTGCATCCACTGCCCCCCCCCCCCCCCATCTGCCTGATAGGCACTCCTGGATGTAAGGGGGGGGAGAATCTGATAGGTACTCCTAGATGAAAGGGGGGGCTCTAATAGGTACTCCAGGATGTAAGGGAGGGGGATCTGATAGGCACTCCTGGATGTAAGGGGGGGGGGGAATCTGATAGGCATTCCTGGATGTAAGGGGGGGAATCTGATAGGTACTCCTAGATGAAAGGGGGGACTCTAATAGGTACTCCAGGATGTAAGGCTGGGGATCTGATAGGCACTCTTGGATATAAGGGGGGGCAGGGGATCTGATAGGCATTCCTGGATGAAAGGGGGGGGCTCTGATAGGCACTCATGAATGAAAGGGAGGGGGCTCTGATAGGCACTCATGAATAAAAGGGGGGCTCCGATAGGTACTCCTGGATGAAATGGGGGCTCTGATAGGCACTCCTGGATGAAGGGGGGCTCTGATAGGCACTCATGAATGAAAGGGAGGGGGCTCTGATAGGCACTCATGAATAAAAGGGGGGCTCCGATAGGCACTCCTGGATGAAAGGGGGGGCTCTGATAGGCACTCATGAATAAAAGGGGCTCCGATAGGTACTCCTGGATGAAAGGGGGGCTCTGATAGGCACTCATGAATAAAAGGGGCTCCGATAGGTACTCCTGGATGAAAGGTGGGGGGCTCTGATAGGTACTTTGTGATGAAAGGGGGGGCTTTGATAGGCACTCCTGGATGAAAAGCGAGGGGCTCTGATAGGAATGCTGAGATATAAGGGGACTCCTGGATATAGGGGGAGGGGGGAGTCAGATTATTTTCAGCTCACAAATGTTTGTAGAATCCGCAAGGTGGTCCTCGTACGGAATAGTTTGGAGCCCACCCCCCCCCCCCCCCCCGCCTTAGAGGACCAAGTCCATGTAGGCCTGTCCTGCCGTTCCTAAGCAGCATGGTTGGACAGTTCCCCCCTAGTGCCTGAACACTGCTAGAAAAGAGACCGCTTACTGATTCACAGCAGTAGGGGGCGCTCTGGAGACCATTGCTGCACTGTTGGATCTATCTGCCCCGCAGGGCTGCACAATCTGAATGTGATGAACGAAGAGGCAGCGCTGTTTGTCCCTGGCCAGACTGACGTCTCCAGCTGCAGCGCTGTCACTGCGGCTCATACAGTCGCAGCTTTTCACCACTTGCTGCAAGGCAGGCAAAGTACTCGACTACTCAGCGCTGCCAGGAGCGCGCCAACTCTGGGGGGAGCGAGGGGGGACAGGAGGCGCCATGTGAAAACACATCACCTTTCCCCTCCGGTGCACTGTGTCCCTCTGGGGCCCATCGCTGTCCATTGAGAATAGTATACGCTGCGGCTCTGTGTGGTCTCTCTGCAGCTTCTTGTACTCTGCCCGGCTGATGGATCACACACACAGCCGCACTGCTCAGTCAGCTTTTTACCATTCTGAAGACACTGAGGAGCGCTAATGTTATAAACGAACAGCGGGGCGCGGGGACTCGGCGTTGGCTGTACCTTCCCCCGCAGGGACGCCCATAAATTAGTCCTGAGAAGGGAGGAGCTACAGCCAGCATTAACATGAATAGGTTTTACTCTCAACAGCGCCACCAATCCAAGCCGGATCCGGAGCTACACTAAGAGGTAAAAATGACTTGTGAGCCCCGCGCCTCGGGAACAAACGGAATTATACCAATAGAAACAAAGCCGCCTCCCTCACAGCGTCCAATACACTCAGTGCAGCCATAGGGGGCGCTAGACTCCATAGTATACATGTATGATGGTGTTTGTGTTGTATAATCAATAGAAACAAAGCCGCCTCCCTCACAGCGTCCAATACACTCAGTGCAGCCATAGGGGGCGCTAGACTCCATAGTATACATGTATGATGGTGTTTGTGTTGTATAATCAATAGAAACAAAGCCGCCTCCCTCACAGCGTCCAATACACTCAGTGCAGCCATAGGGGGCGCTAGACTCCATAGTATACATGTATGATGGTGTTTGTGTTGTATAATCAATAGAAACAAAGCCGCCTCCCTCACAGCGTCCAATACACTCAGTGCAGCCATAGGGGGCGCTAGACTCCATAGTATACATGTATGATGGTGTTTGTGTTGTATAATCAATAGAAACAAAGCCGCCTCCCTCACAGCGTCCAATACACTCAGTGCAGCCATAGGGGGCGCTAGACTCCATAGTATACATGTATGATGGTGTTTGTGTTGTATAATCAATAGAAACAAAGCCGCCTCCCTCACAGCGTCCAATACACTCAGTGCAGCCATAGGGGGCGCTAGACTCCATAGTATACATGTATGATGGTGTTTGTGTTGTATAATCAATAGAAACAAAGCCGCCTCCCTCACAGCGTCCAATACACTCAGTGCAGCCATAGGGGGCGCTAGACTCCATAGTATACATGTATGATGGTGTTTGTGTTGTATAATCAATAGAAACAAAGCCGCCTCCCTCACAGCGTCCAATACACTCAGTGCAGCCATAGGGGGCGCTAGACTCCATAGTATACATGTATGATGGTGTTTGTGTTGTATAATCAATAGAAACAAAGCCGCCTCCCTCACAGCGTCCAATACACTCAGTGCAGCCATAGGGGGCGCTAGACTCCATAGTATACATGTATGATGGTGTTTGTGTTGTATAATCAATAGAAACAAAGCCGCCTCCCTCACAGCGTCCAATACACTCAGTGCAGCCATAGGGGGCGCTAGACTCCATAGTATACATGTATGATGGTGTTTGTGTTGTATAATCAATAGAAACAAAGCCGCCTCCCTCACAGCGTCCAATACACTCAGTGCAGCCATAGGGGGCGCTAGACTCCATAGTATACATGTATGATGGTGTTTGTGTTGTATAATCAATAGAAACAAAGCCGCCTCCCTCACAGCGTCCAATACACTCAGTGCAGCCATAGGGGGCGCTAGACTCCATAGTATACATGTATGATGGTGTTTGTGTTGTATAATCAATAGAAACAAATGCTACAAATGGACTTTATCGGCACAAAGACCAGATACAGGAATACATGAAATCGATATCGCGGTCTGTCACATTTACTCCGCAGTATTAAAATCCTATTTGGTAATATAAATGGGTAAAGTGCAGCGCTATATAACACGATATAAAATTCGATCTAAATTGTTCAATCAAAGATGAATGTTCATAAAATCCTGCGATCAATTCATGAATGTGGTGAACACAGCTTATAACAGATCCGGAAAATGGCGGAAATGCGCACTCACCGACCGCGCATAGGAAATGCACATGTGTGTATCAAATCCCACAGATGTCGTTATCCTCCGGGAAGAGGTGTCATCAGTCGATCTGCTGGGCTAACAGGGCCTCCTTAGGTTTGGATCAGCCAGGATACATGTTCCTTCCAGGTACAGAGTTCCTTCCAGGTACAGAATTCCCTCCTCTGGACAGAATATGGCGCTGTGTCTGTCAGCCGTAGTTTATAGTTCATCCATTCTGTAGGAGTTCGTTTTAGCTGTATCCCTGGTGGTTGTGATCATCTGCAGTGCTTTTACTACCAGCACTCACTTTGCTTCATATTATCTGTCTATTTGGTAATATCCCCGCAACGAATGTCCCGGAACCCACCCGCAACGAATGTCCCGGAGCCCACCCGCAACGAATGTCCCGGAGCCCACCCCGCAACGAATGTCCCGGAGCCCACCCGCAACGAATGTCCCGGAACCCACCCGCAACGAATGTCCCGGAGCCCACCCGCAACGAATGTCCCGGAGCCCACCCGCAACGAATGTCCCGGAACCCACCCCGCAACGAATGTCCCGGAGCCCACCCGCAACGAATGTCCCGGAGCCCACCCCGCAACGAATGTCCCGGAGCCCACCCCGTACCGAATGTCCCGGAGCCCACCCGCAACGAATGTCCCGGAACCCACCCGCAACGAATGTCCCGGAGCCCACCCGCAACGAATGTCCCGGAGCCCACCCGCAACGAATGTCCCGGAGCCCACCCGCAACGAATGTCCCGGAGCCCACCCCGTACCGAATGTCCCGGAGCCCCCCCCCCCAATGAATGTCCCGGAGCCTGCCCCCAACGAATGTCCCGGAGCCCGCCCCCAACGAATGTCCCGGAGCCCACCCCGCAACGAATGTCCCAGAGCCCACCCCGCAACGAATGTCCCAGAGCCCACCCCGCAACGAATGTCCCAGAGCCTACCCCGTACCGAATGTCCCGGAGCCCAGCCCGCAACGAATGTCCCGGAGCCCACCCGCAACGAATGTCCCGGAACCCACCCCGCAACGAATGTCCCGGAGCCCACCCGCAACGAATGTCCCGGAGCCCACCCCGTACCGAATGTCCCGGAGCCCACCCCGTACCGAATGTCCCGGAGCCCACCCGCAACGAATGTCCCGGAACCCACCCGCAACGAATGTCCCGGAGCCCACCCGCAACGAATGTCCCGGAGCCCACCCGCAACGAATGTCCCGGAGCCCACCCCGGGTACCAAATGTCCCGGAGCCCACCCCCCAATGAATGTCCCGGAGCCTGCCCCCAACGAATGTCCCGGAGCCCGCCCCCCCAACGAATGTCCCGGAGCCCACCCCGCAACGAATGTCCCAGAGCCCACCCCGCAACGAATGTCCCAGAGCCCACCCCGCAACGAATGTCCCAGAGCCTACCCCGTACCGAATGTCCCGGAGCCCAGCCCGCAACGAATGTCCCGGAGCCTAGCCCGCAACGAATGTCCCAAAGCCCAGCCCGCAACGAATGTCCCGGAGCCCACCCCGTAACGAATGTCCCGGAGCCCACCCGCAACGAATGTCCCGGAGCCCACCCCGTACTGAATGTCCCGGAGCCCGCCCCCCAATGAATGTTCCGGAGCCCACCCCGCAACGAATGTCCCAGAGCCCACCCCGTAATGAATGTTCCGGAGCCCACCCGCAACAAATGTCCCGGAGCCCACCCCGTACCGAATGTCCCGGAGCCCGCCCCGCAACGAAGTCCCGGAGCCCACCCCGCAACGAATGTCCCAGAGCCCACCATGTACGGAAGGAACACAACCAGGGATGAGGCATGGAAAAGACCACCAGGATGATCCTACGGGGGGGCGGAGGGGGTGAGGGGCATTCTGATGCTGGAGAATTGGCCGTCGCTTCCTCGGGCTGATTGTGTATCTAAAAGAGATAAATAGACTTAATATGACATTACGCACCAGACAGTCATGAGCCCTCCAATCACAGAGCGGGCCTCCTATGAGTACCCAAGAGAGCAGAAACCATCCAGGGGGCCAGATGTGGGGGCGCAGAGAAGGGGGACCAGGCCAGCGTCCACATTTGTGCTGCACAACATATAAGTCCCCTTATCTTCTTCCGACACTAAAATAAGAGTTCTTCAAATATGAAGTCTATTGTATAACTGGTGATGTCATCACTGGGTCTTTGTGCTTCTCTATGCAATCCAGGTAGATCATGGATGGTGGGAGGGGCTGGCAGGTGGCTGTACATAGCTTCCTGAAAACATTACAGGCCCCCCCCCCCCCCCCCCGGCCTCAATACTCCTCTCAGGGGCCCTCAGTCCTGATGTAACCAGTGGGTAGCCTCTTGGGAGGAGTTATGCAAATATCCAAATGCCTTGATGGGTGGGTGTCAGTCTGGAGGAGTTCAAGGCAGGGTGTATGTGCATAGGTAACACCCACATCCATGACTGAAAGAACTAAAATCCAATGAATAAAAGGGGGTGGGACAGTCAGGCTGGAGAGAAAAGCGCTAGATGATGCTGGATGTCCTCCAGCCAGGAAATGAGGCGGAGCTCTATCTGGCTGCGGCTTCTAATGCACATTGTGAGAAGCTCCCAGTGTGCAGTAACATCAGAGAAAGCCATTCCAGTCTGGGGGAGGAGCTGGTACACCTGTGCAAGACTGTAGGGGAGGAGCCGGTACACCTGTGCAAGACTGAGGGGGGAGGAGCCGGTACACCTGTGCAAGACTGGAGGGGAGGAGCCGGTACCCTGTGCAAGACTGGAGGGGAGGAGCCGGTACACCTGTGCAAGACTGGAGGGGAGGAGCAGGTACACCTGTGCAAGACTGAGGGGGGAGGAGCCGGTACACCTGTGCAAGACTGAGGGGGGAGGAGCCAGTACACCTGTGCAAGACTGGAGGGGAGGAGCCGGTACACCTGTGCAAGACTGGAGGGGAGGAGCCGGTACACCTGTGCAAGACTGAAGGGGAGGAGCCGGTACACCTGTGCAAGACTGAGGGGGGAGGAGCCGGTACACCTGTGCAAGACTGGAGGGGAGGAGCTGGCACACCTGTGCAAGACTGAAGGGGAGGAGCCAGTACACCTGTGCAAGACTGGAGGGGAGGAGCTGGCACACCTGTGCAAGACTGAAGGGGAGGAGCCAGGACATCTGTGCAAGACTGAAGGGGAGGAGCCAGTACACCTGTGCAAGACTGAGGGGGGGGATGGAGGGAGGATAGAAGACTGAAGGGGGGGATTGAGGGGAGATAAGACTGAAGGGGGGATGGAGGGGGATAGAAGACTGAAGGGGGGGATGGAGGGGAGATAAGACTGAAGGGGGGATGGAGGGAGGATAGAAGACTGGAGGGGGGGGGGGTGGAGGGGAGATAAGACTGAAGGGGGGATGGAGGGGGATAGAAGACTGGAGGGGGGGATGGAGGGGAGATAAGATTGAAGGGGGGATGGAGGGGGGATAGAAGACTGAAGGGGGATGGAGGGGGGATAGAAGACTGAAGGGGGGGATGGAGGGAGGATAGAAGACTGAAGGGGGGGATGGAGGGGAGATAAGACTGAAGGGGGGAAGGAGGGAGGATAGAAGACTGAAGGGGGGGATGGAGGGGAGATAAGATTGAAGGGGGGATGGAGGGAGGATATAAGACTGGAGGGGGGGGGGTGGAGGGAGGATTTAGGGCTCCTTTACACCCATGAGCAGCACTCCATGCACAGGCGTTGGGGCGCACAGGGACACATGGGGGTGATGTCTGTCAGTTACACTGTTCCTTTCCTTCACAGAACCTCAGCCCTCCCTCCTGGCAGTACTCGGGTCGTTGGTTTGGATCCCAACCACAGCACCACCTGCCAGGAGTTTGCATGTTCTCCCTGTGCCTGCGTGGGTTTCCTCCGGTTTCCTCCCACACTCCAAAGACATGCTGGGAGGTGAATTGGCTCCTGTCTGCATTGTCCCTAGTATGTGTATGTATGAATGTGAGTTAGGGACCTGAGATTGTACGCTCCTCGGGGGCGGGGCCTGATGTGAATGTACAATATATATGTAAAGTGCTGCGTACATTGATGGCGATATAGAAGGACCGGAAATAAATACGTTTCAGCGGTGACATAAATAAAATTCAGTTCCGCACAGTGTGGGCCGATGCGGTGTCTGCAATGGAAGCCGCTGCGCTGAACAATATCCTGCCTATGGCTGCAGCCGCATGCGGTTGCCATGGGTAACACATCTCCGGTTGCCGTCACTCCCTGCGCACCGCGTGTCCTATATATCATGGTATTCTATGGACATATTCCTTCCTGACGTCACACATTCCACTCGGATTAATATCCCGGATTAGTCGCCACAAAGCCTCCCGCTATTTATAGCTCCCGGAGCCGCACTTCACACCGCGAGTGTCGGGGCTTAAAGGGCCACTCCAACCAAAGCGAACGGGAACATCTTGCTTTATGCTGAAGAGGTAAACCTGAACCCCGGGATAATAAATCCTTCGCTCGTGTACACCCCCCGGCCACTATATTAGGTACAGCTCGCTACCCGGCGTGGTCTTTTGCTGACACGAGTGGCACCTGATGTGGTCTTCTGCTGACAGGAGTGGCACCCGATGAGGTCTCAGCTGATAGGAGTGGCACCCGATGTGGTCTTCTGCTGACAGGAGTGGCACCCGGTGTGGTCTCTGCTGACAGGAGTGGCACCCGGTGTGGTCTCTGCTGACAGGAGTGGCACCCGATGTGGTCTCAGCTGACAGGAGTGGCACCCGATGTGGTCTCAGCTGATAGGAGTGGCACCCGATGTGGTCTTCTGCTGACAGGAGTGGCACCCGGTGTGGTCTCAGCTGACAGGAGTGGCACCCGATGTGGTCTTCTGCTGCTGTAGCCCATCTGCAAGGGTGGCCGTGTTGTGTGTTCAGAGATGGTATTCTGCATACCTTGGGTGTAACGAGGGGTTATTGGAGTTCCTGTTGCCTATCACCTGGAACCAGTCTGCCCATCCTCCTCTGACCTCTGACCTCAACAAGGCATTTTCCTCCACACAACTGCCACTCAATGGATATTTTCTCCTTTTCGGACCATTCTCTATAAATCCTGGAGATGGCTGTGCAGGAAAATCCCATATCGGCAGTTATAGAAATCCTCAGACCAGCCCGTCTGGCACCAACAAACACGCCACGTTCAGTCACTTCAATCCCCTTTCCTCCCCATTCTGATGCTCGGTTTGAACTTCAGCAAGTCGTCTTCACCGCGTCTAGATGCCGAAACTGAGTTGCTGCCGTGTGATTGGCTGATTAGCAATTTGTGTTACCGAGCCATTGGACAGCGTGTACATTCTTCTAGAACCTTCTCCCAGATTTGAGCCGTCATCCAGGGTGAGACTTCCTGGAATAAAGACCGCTCACTGCTGCCCTCTCTCCTTGTGCAGGGGGACTGGTCTTGTCTCCACCCCCTCCTGTAGTGTTCTGTGGTGGGTGGAGTCTTCTGGGCACCTCCCATAGCTCTAGTTTCTGCACAGGCAGTACAGTGATGATGTCACTGCTAAGTTTACAGGGTAATATCTGACTTTGTAAAGGCAGTTGGAGCTCACAAAGTGGTTTTATATTTTTTGTGGTTATTGAGGAATAGATTGAAATGAAAGTATTTGTGAGCGGAGTTCCCCTTTAAAGCTGACATTTAATCTGCAGTAAGTTTGCCTTCCCTGGTTCTCCCTCTTCCCCTCCCCTCTCTTATAAAAGTGATAATTACATAAAAAAATGTTCAGTTCCTTTACATACCAAAATGTAACATACAGTGATGTCATCATCGGGTCTCTGTGCTTCTCTATGCAATTCAGGCAGATCATGGCTGGTGGGAGGGGCCAGCAGGGGGCTGTACATAGCTTCCTGAAACCATCACAGCCCCCTGCCTCAGCACTCCTCTCAAGAGCTCTCAGTCCTGATGCAAGCAGTGGGAGGAGTTATGCAAATATCAAAATGCCTCGATGGGCAGGTGAAAGCCTGAAGGAAGAGTGGGCGGTCCTAAACAGCATTCAGAGCTGATCACTCGCATGTATCTGCTGCATGACGACTGGAGCCTCCCGATACTCCCAATAATCACGGGAACCCACTGGGGTCAGAGTCCAGGGGAGGAGCCGGTACACCTGTGCAAGACTGAAGGGGAGGAGCCGGTACACCTGTGCAAGACTGAAGGGGAGGAGCCGGTACACCTGTGCAAGACTGAAGGGGAGGAGCCGGTACACCTGTGCAAGACTGAAGGGGAGGAGCCGGTACACCTGTGCAAGACTGAAGGGGAGGAGCCGGTACACCTGTGCAAGACTGGAGGGGAGGAGCCTGTACACCTGTGCAAGTCTGGAGGGGAGGAGCCAGGACACCTGTGCAAGACTGAAGGGGAGGAGCCGGTACACCTGTGCCAGGCTGAAGAGGAGGAGCCGGTACACCTGTACAAGACTGAAGAGGAGGAGCCGGTACACCTGTGCAAGTCTGGAGGGGAGGAGCCGGTACACCTGTGCAAAACTGAAGGGGTGGAGCCGGTACACCTGTACAAAACTGAAGGGGAGGAGCCGGTACACCTATGCAAGACTAGAGGGGAGGAGCCAGTACACCTGTGCAAGACTGAAGGGGAGGAGCCGGTACACCTGTGCAAGACTAGAGGGGAGGAGCTGGTACACCTGTGCAAGTCTGGAGGGGAGGAGCCGGTACACCTGTGCAAGACTGAAGGGGAGGAGTCGGTACACCTGTGCAAGACTGGAGGGGAGGAGCCAGCACACCTGTACAAGGCTGAAGGGGAGGAGCCAGTACACCTGAACAAGACTGGAGGGGAGGAGCCGGTACACCTGTGCAAGTCTGGAGGGGAGGAGCCGGTACACTTGTGCAAGACTGAAGGGGAGGAGCCAGTACACCTGTGCAAGTCTGGAGGGGAGGAGCTGGTACACCTGTGCAAGTCAGAAGGGGAGGAGCCGGTACACCTGTGCAAGTCTGGAGGGGAGGAGCCGGTATACCAGTGCAAGACTGAAGGGGAGGAGCCAGTTCACCAGTGCAAGTCTGGAGGGGAGGAGCTGGTACACCTGTGCAAGTCAGAAGGGGAGGAGCCGGTACACCTGTGCAAGTCTGGAGGGGAGGAGCCGGTATACCAGTGCAAGACTGAAGGGGAGGAGCCGGTACACCAGTGCAAGACTGAAGGGGAGGAGCCGGTACACCTGTGCAAGGTTGAAGGGGAGGAGCCGGTACACCTGTGCAGGACTGAAGGGGAGGAGCCAGTACACCTGTGCAAGACTGAAGGGGAGGAGCCAGTACACCTGTGCAAGACTGAAGGGGAGGATTTAATTTCTAATTTCTATATACAGTCAACTTTTTAAACATTGGATAAACTTTGGAAGGATTAGAACCCCTGTCAGATTTTTGCTGCTGCAATGTTTTAACAGACAGGAAGAAATTCCCACTATTCCTGTGTTGATTTCCCGGGTCTGTACACCCGCTGTACCCATTATGAGGGGTTCCCACCATCCCTGTGCTGAATTCCCGGGTCTGTACACCTGCTGTGCCCATTATGAGGGGTTCCCACCATCCCTGTGCCCATTATGTGGAGTTCCCCTGTGACTGTAGCCCCAGTGATTACATTGGAAGCACACGCATGCTGTGCAGTGATTGGTCATTTGTGTTCAGTGGCACATTAACATGTCTTCATACCGCCATGCTGTCCTGTTCTGTGTGAACAGGTTGGTTTTAGCACAATGCACCGTAATGTGAACTGCAATACAGCAGCTCCGGCATTCTCAGCAGGTTTGTCAGCGCAGCTCCGGCATTCTCAGCAGGTTGTCAGCGCAGCTCCGGCATTCTCAGCAGGTTGTCAGCGCAGCTCCGGCATTCCCAGCAGGTTGTCAGCGCAGCTCCGGCATTCCCAGCAGGTTGTCAGCGCAGCTCCGGCATTCCCAGCAGGTTGTCAGCGCAGCTCCGGCATTCCCAGCAGGTTGTCAGCGCAGCTCCGGCATTCTCAGCAGGTTGTCAGCGCAGCTCCGGCATTCTCAGCAGGTTGTCAGCGCAGCTCCGGCATTCCCAGCAGGTTGTCAGCGCAGCTCCGGCATTCCCAGCAGGTTGTCAGCGCAGCTCCGGCATTCTCAGCAGGTTGTCAGCGCAGCTCCGGCATTCCCAGCAGGTTGTCAGCGCAGCTCCGGCATTCCCAGCAGGTTGTCAGCGCAGCTCCGGCATTCTCAGCAGGTTGTCAGTGCAGCTCAACGCTTTACAAATCACATCTGGAGCATTTCCAGCAATGCACTGCCATGCAAAGTATGTGCTCTGTGGCGTGTAGTGCCGATGCGTGGCCAGCTACATATACTGCATACATGCCATTCTACATACATCACAAAGCACAGAGTACAATGCTCTGACAGACATTTGGGAACACACATGGGGACGCACATGGGGACGCACATGGGAACACACATGGGAACGTACATGGGAACGCACATGAAAACGCACATGGGAACGCACATGGGAACGCACATGAGAACGCACATGGGAACGCACATGAGAACGCACATGGGAACGCACATGAGAACGCACATGGGAACGCACATGGGAACGCATATGAGAACGCACATGGGAAAGCACATGGGAAAGCACATGAAAACGCACATGGGAACGTACATGGGAACGCACATGAGACGTACATGGGAACGTACATGGGAACGTACATGGGAACGCACATGGGAATGCACATGGGAACGTACATGGGAACGTACATGGGAACGCACATGAGAACGTACATGGGAACGTACATGGGAACGTACATGGGAACGCACATGGGAACGCACATGAGAACGCACATGGGAACGCACATGGGAACGCATATGAGAACGCACATGGGAAAGCACATGAAAACGCACATGGAAACGTACATGGGAACGCACATGGGAACGCATATGAGAACGTACATGGGAACGTACATGGGAACGTACATGGGAACGCACATGGGAACGTACATGGGAACACGCTACACTGCAACTCACATGTATGAGGGTCGCTAGATTCCATTTGTAGCTCTTCCCCCATAGGAGCCGCTCAGTAATTTGGGTTCTCTGTTCTGCAACCCTCCGCCCCTCTGACACACCCGGAGGAAAGTCACTGCCAGCGACTCTCAGAAGACGCCTGTAGAGAGTGATCACCAGGACTGACCTGTGACTGATAATACTGGAACTAGTCTGGAGCGCCCTCTAGGGGAATGGCAGGATATGGGGCAATGACTCCTCATAGGCAATAGGTGGAGGTCAGTGCAGCGCCTGTAAAGGGACGGTCTTTCGTCTGAACTCTTCAGCCGGATAATGTTGGGGCCCATTTGTATTGTTGGGGCCCAACGTCCAGTCAAGCCTTCAGGCAGTAATAAAGCTCCTAGATGGCTGGATGGTCAGTGTCCCCAGCAGCAGCACATAGTCCCCACAGCAGCAGCACATAGTCCCCACAGCAGCAGCACATAGTCCCCACAGCAGCAGATATTCTCCCCAGCAGCAGATAGTCTCCCCAGCAGCACATAGTCCCCACAGCAGCACATAGTTCCCACAGAAGCAGCAGATAGTCAGTCCCCATGGCAACAGAAGATAGTCCCCCCAGCAGCAGATAGTAAGTCCCCATGGCAACAGCAGATAGTCCCCCCAGCAGCAGATAGTAAGTCCCCATGGCAACAGCAGATAGTCTCCCCAGCAGCAGATAGTCAGTCCCCACGGCAGAAGAAGATAGTCAGTCCCCACAGCAGCAGCAGATAGTCAGTCCCCACAGCAGCAGCAGATAGTCTCCCCAGCAGCAGAGTCAGTCCCCATGGCAGCAAAAAAAAGTCAGTCCCCACAGCAGCAGCAAATAGTCTCCCCAGCAGCAGAGTCAGTCCCCATGGCAGCAGCAGATAGTCAGTCCCCGGCAGCAGCAAATAGTCTCCCCAGCAGCAGAGTCAGTCCCCGCAGCAGCAGCAGATAATCAGTCCCCGCAGCAGCAGCAGATAGTCAGTCCCCGCGGCAGCAGCAGATAGTCAGTCCCCATGGCAGCAGCAGATAGTCCACATGGCAGCAGCAGATAGTCAGTCCCCGCAGCAGCAGCAGATAGTCAGTCCCCGCAGCAGCAGATAGTCCCCATGGCAGCAGCAGATAGTCAGTCCCCGCAGCAGCAGCAGATAGTCCCCATGGCAGCAGCAGATAGTCAGTCCCCGCGGCAGCAGCAGATAATCAGTCCCCGCAGCAGCAGCAGATAGTCCCCATGGCAGCAGCAGATAGTCAGTCCCCGCAGCAGCAGCAGATAGTCCCCATGGCAGCAGCAGATTTTCAGTCCCCGCGGCAACAGCAGATAGTCAGTCCCCGCAGCAGCAGCAGATAGTCAGTCCCCGCAGCAGCAGCAGATAGTCAGTCCCCGCAGCAGCAGCAGATAGTCAGTCCCGCAGCAGCAGCAGATAGTCAGTCCCCGCAGCAGCAGCAGATAGTCAGTCCCGCAGCAGCAGCAGATAGTCAGTCCCCATGGCAGCAGCAGATAGTCCCCATGGCAGCAGCAGATAGTCAGTCCCCCCGCAGCAGCAGCAGATAGTCCCCATGGCAGCAGCAGATTTTCAGTCCCCGCGGCAGCAGCAGATAGTCAGTCCCCGCAGCAGCAGCAGATAGTCAGTCCCCACAGCAGCAGCAGTCAGTCCCCGCAGCAGCAGCAGATAGTCCCCATGGCAGCAGCAGATAGTCAGTCCCCGCAGCAGCAGCAGATAGTCAGTCCCCGCAGCAGATAGTCAGTCCCCGCAGCAGCAGCAGATAGTCAGTCCCCGCAGCAGCAGCAGATAGTCAGTCCCCGCAGCAGATTTTCAGTCCCCCGCGGCAGCAGCAGATAGTCAGTCCCCGCAGCAGCAGATAGTCAGTCCCCGCAGCAGATAGTCAGTCCCCGCAGCAGCAGCAGATAGTCAGTCCCCGCAGCAGCAGCAGATAGTCAGTCCCCCGCAGCAGCAGCAGCTCATCGTCTGTCACAGCAATTAGTCCATTCTCTGCTCTGCACCCGGGTGACTCTGGCTGCACCTATCACTCTGCAGCCCGCTCAGCCGGCCGATACGCAGCAGTGCCAGTGTACACTGGGCCGCGATGTGCAGCGCCTGAGAGCAGCTGCAGCCAGTGTCTCTCCATTCTCAGCACCCGGCTTCATATTCATCAATAACTGATGGAAGATTTCGAGGATTTTCCCTCCCAGCACACTCACCATTGTGTCATTGGAGGGGGGGGGGGGGATTTTCTGAATGCTGATAGGTTGAGCACTCTGCTGGCACAGTATCTCCAGGGGGGGGAGGGGCTCTGTACACTTCCATCATCCAATCAAGTGCAAGCAAATATTCTGGGGTTTTTTTTTTGTGTTTTGTTTTATTTTAATTTTCCTTGCATGTGATTGGATTTTCTTTGCAAAGTGAAGCTCCGCCTCATTTACTAAGCTCTAGAGTAGAGGTGCTGAACCTGTGGCCCCCGGAGCCCTCTGATGTGGCCCTTGACCTCAAACTGAATGCTGTAGTTTTCAGAAAGTGCCCCACCCCCACAGGAGATAATAGAAGTCTATGGCAGAGCGCAGCTAACCCGCAGGAAGGGAGAGGAGCGCTGTGCTGCCCCCCCCAGTGTGGGGGAATCAGTGCGGGGGGGGGGGGGGGGGGTCTCAGGATAGCAGGGGATCATATAAATTAGTGGTTTGGGGGTGGTAAAACATTATAGCTGAGATGTGTTTTTACCACACACCCCCAACCAATGATGTAGCATCAGGGGTCACAATGGCAGTCCCATGCTCCAGGCGGCCCGTGTGGCCTCCCTGTCACATTCAGCAGCGGTGGGGGCGGCAAATACTGGGACCAGTCCTCTCCTCTCCAGCCAACTTCCCCTCCCACCAGCATTCAATGGCTGCAGGACGAATATGGGTGATTATGCTATTCCAGATCCCGAACCATTTCTATTCATTGTGGCCCCCAAATCACATAAGTGGCCCCCCGCTCTTCAGAGGCCCCTCCCCCAGTGTAGAGCAATGGTTCATCAATCAGTCCATTGGGATTTGTAGATCTGCCACTAGATGGGGCTCTCAGTGGTTCAGTGTGATCAGGTTATCCCCGCATAGGCTGGCGCTGTGGGAGGAGCCGTAGAGCGCCGTCATCGTGGAGAAGGAAGTGGCGGATGTCATGGAATATAAATCTCACCTCCAGGAAAGTCACCGCTGGGACCACCACAGACTTCCTGCGCGGAGCCGCTGCCCTCTGCTCTGTGCTCTGATTGGACGGGTGGGAAAGCGGGGCAATGATGTCACAGAGTCCAGCCCCCTCTCAGTATTCTCTCTGCAGACACATGTGACCATAATGAGAACCTGACCTCGTCATTGTGTGGAATGGCTGGTTTAACCGTGGGCGGAGCCTAGACCTGGCCCCATCATAGCAGGTGGGGTCCCCCAAATCTTGATGACAGATCCCAATCCCAGTATACCGCTTTGGGGTTCCTTCCCCCCAGAAGGTGATTAGGGAGCAGATCCCCCCAATGATATTACCACCCCCCAGGTCCTGGATCAGTGGGTGTGGCCTGAGGAAGGCGGTACAAATCAATGATAGGCTGGCACTGTCCATGGTAACCAATGGGAAGGCAGGAAACATAGTCTGGTCTGGTGTCAGGGATTGGAGGGAAGTGTACAGTGCGGTGGGCAGTATATAGTATACTGATGGCGCGGTGGGCAGTATATAGTATATTGATGGTGCGGTGGGCAGTATATATATAGTATATTGACTGATGGTGCGGTGGGCAGTATATAGTATATTGATGGTGCGGTGGGCAGTATATAGTATATTGATGGTG